TGGGACTTATTTTGAGTGAAGAAGAAAAAAGTAAGTAATGCATGTGGGTGAGGATTGATTTGTATTAAAAGAATTGAGCTTGGGTCTTTAAAGTAGTAAACCTGTTAACAATTGAGGTACCATTTAGGCATTTTTACACAAAATCCTTTTGATTTTGATGGCCTTAGCCCCGTTAATACACATTTTTCACTTTCCCATTTTCAAATGTTTATCTTCATTCTTCTTCCTTTCCTCTTCCACCTTCTTTTCAATTTCATGAGTAGTTTAAGCCTTAACTTCAAAACTTCTCTTTTTATCCAAGTAAGTAAACCTTTCTTGAAGTTCATAATTGAATCATTGGTTGCCTATTAATTCTTAAGAAATTCATAAGAATTCTTATTTATAGGTGAGGGAAGTTTCTAGGAAGTGTAAGAGAAAGAAGCTAAAAGAGCGAGCTCAAAGCTTTTTGGAGCAAAGGTTTGAAATATCCTTTTTTGTTCTTTCCTTTTCTTTATGTATGAGATTTGTGTGGTGTGTTGCTATTGAGACCAATGCTTGCTTTATGTTAATGGAAGACCTGGTATTGGTGAGAAAAACAGGGAAAAACGGGGAAGTATTGAAATAAATGAAGTGAATATTGAGTTTATGTTAGACAGGTTTTTTGGCTGGAATTTTTCCAGGACTTTCATCTTGATTTTGAGCTGCCATTTTAGTGATGGAAATTAGAAGTGTCATATAAGATTATTTGTTACTTCTATGTGTTTAGTTACATGGGGTTTTTGAATCAACCAATTGGAGTTTTGTATATTGAGAGATATGACCAAAAGAAGTACAGACAGTGCAGGCTGGGAAGCCGCTGGGCGCGCAGCGAATTGCATGACGAGTTTTCGCGTTGCCTTCTCGCGCTCGGCGAATTTGAACTAAGCGCGCTCAACGATTAAAGATGAGTCGGCGGCGACTTTCCACACTGAAACTCTCTGACTCTCAATTGGAGCACATCTCGCGCTCGGCGTACTGGCTCTTCGCCTGTAAGCGCTCGCGACCTACATCGCGAGCTCCTGCGAATTTAGCCCGATAACTACTGTCTCTCATTTGGCACTTCTCGCGCTCGTTGCAGGCCGACTGTTCAAGTACGCGCTCCGCAGACTTGTGCCCGATAAACTCACTGTCTCTCATCGGTGCATTACGCGCTCGCGACTTAATGTTTTCAATGCACTTTTGGAACTTCTTTTTCATGCAATTGTATTTCTTTGCTTCACTTATATGCCTCGCAATCTATTTTTAACATCAAATAATAACATTTGAAACAATGTATCAATAAAACAACATTCAACACATGGCAAATGATGTGAAATCAAATATACATTAATGAATTATGAAAGTATATGAACTATAATGTGATGTTGTGTTTAATATTATTGAAACATACCAACATTTTGGCTCCAATTGAGGTTAGGTAGAAAACCATGTAGATAAGGCTTATGTCGCGACATAAAGGATAGCAGATCTGCCCCCATACAGTTTGGTACTCGCTACAAGGCCCGTTGAGTGGGATTATGAATTATATATCGACCCATAAGCAGCCAAGCATACATTATTCATGCCCAGTTAATCACTACAGTTTTTTCTTATCACTTCGGTTTCACTATAACTTATGGAGCCATACAGATTATCTTGACATAACAATTCATAAATTATACAGTAATTACACTAACAGTAACAAAAATAATCAAGGGTAATGAAAGGTATGCATAACAGTTGTGGCTTATATGTGCCATATGTGTTTGACATACTATATTTCTATCCTATGTAGTGTTGATTGTTTTCCTTCATTTGTTGAGATATCCACGTGAGCTTTATTTGCTCAGCGAGTTAACCTGTTTAAAACTCGCAGGTTTTGAGATTGGGCAGTAGAGAGTTAGCTTACAACTGCTTGCAAGTTCATCTGTAAAGACTCAGTTCTCAGGGTAGCTATCATACGGATGTGTATTTTTGTTTTTTCTTTTTATGGCATGTACACGAGGTACTCATTTGCCTAATTTCATTTTGTACAACGTAGTAATCATGTTTTGTAAATATAAAGTACATTATTTTTGTATACAGATCAGCATGCTATTATTTTCAATATCCATTATGATTTCAAGCATGTCAGATCATACATCAACCAATTTTGTAGCGTCTCGGTCCGGTTCATTGGGTTACGGGTGGACGGAAGGGGTGTTACAAATAAATATTGTTCTTTAATATATATAATTTTTACGCGACAATGCATTGATCGTGGCGGTAAAGCAATATCCATTATGATTTCAGCATGTCAGATCATACAGTCAACCAATTTGTAGCGTCTCGGTCCGGTTCATTCGGGTTTACGGGTGGACCGGGAAGGGGTGTTACAATAAATATTGTTCTTTAATATATATAATTTTACCGACAATGCATTGATCGTGGCGGTAAGTCACCTCAATCCCTTTAAGATTAAAAACACAAATTCAATGTCTGTTCTAAATTGGATTACAGCTCTTAATTGTATAAAAATTCTTCCATGTTTCAACAGTATTATATTGTTCTGTGTCTAAAATATGAAAGAAATAAGCGTTTTCACGACTCTACCAGCTAGTCAATTCTATTCCACTTAATGGTGGAGCTATAAATATTTTATAGCAGCGATGTCATTTTATTTAATTTGATTTTTAGTAGGGTGAATTAGATTAAAAACTCTAAAATTCTTCATTTAGTATATATTTTTTTAATTTTTTACCAATTTAATCTTATTTTATAAATAATTTTTAAAAATTTGAATAGGGTCAATTGACCCACTTCACATAGTGTGACGCCGCCATGATTCCATTTAATTCTTATTTCACAGCGACACATCTTTCAGGCTAAAATATCTCCATTACATGAATCTAATTTTCATTTCATCCAGAAAAGCAATTCTCTATAATTTTATTTGTGAATGAAAATATTTTATATTTGCAATTTTAATAAATATCACTTCCCTGTTTCGATGATATCTCTTATTTTACAATTACCAAAAGAAATTGTAATTAGGGTTGCAATTGAATTTCTTTTTAATTAGTTCAAACTTTTTTTTTGTTATTTAGTTTTGTTTTTAAAACATGATGAGATAATATAGCATACATGTGTCAAAATTTGGAGCTCACTAATGATGATATCAACAACTGTATAACGAAGCGATTGAAATTGCAATGAAAAAAAAAATTTGAAGCATCAATTATCAAAATTTTAAAAATCGGCTAAAATTACAAAAAAACACAATTCAAACCTTTTTATATATATATATATATCATTAGCCTTTTTTTATAGCTAAATTATTATGTGAAGGTCTCTTTTGGGATATCCTCCCAAGTCCCACATTGAACAAATGTGAGAAGAGGAACCAAAATATAATGGTTCAAACCCAACCCATTAATATGAGGTCTTTTGGGAGGTGTCTAAAAACAAATCCGTAAGAGCTTGGTCCAAAGCGGACAATATTATATTAATCCGGGGTTGGATGAGGGTACGCGCGGCCCCATCAGTCTCAACTTATGATCTCACCACTCTGTCAGCAATTTAAATACTATGACATTGAGCCAAAACCCATTAATTAGAAATAGTTTTCACAAACTAACATTGAAACGGATTTATTTTTATTTTTTTAGAATAAAACGGGTTTGAATTGTTAGCTCATTACAACAAGCAGATTATATATCTTTAGCTTGGGTTGGGAGACAAGCAAATCAGGCTACTCATTGTTTTACGCAACAGGTTTGTTTTTATGCTAGCTTCTAGAGACGAGACTCGATTGCTCGTGTACTGTTGAGGTTCTTATTTCTGAAATTGATTAATGAAGGCATCTTTTCGATCAAAAAATTGTAATTTCCTAAAAAAAAAATTGAATTTCTCCAATGTCATCCATTTTGCAAATCAACTAAAAGATCCATTCAAATCATTTGAACTTTATTATTATCACTGATTATCCAAAGAAATCTATTTAAAAAACATTTAAATATTGAAATCTTTCAAATTAATCTAATCCATTTGATCATTTTATTTATGCTAAAAATATAGTTCCAATTTTCTAATTTAACTTAACACTTAGGTTCTGAAAATGAATTCTTCTTTTGTCATTTTTTCTGCATTTAGCTTAGCTATTTTTCTGTCACTTAGACTCCATTTGTTTCCATAAAATAATTTACAGGAAAATAATTTGCTGAAAATTATTTTCATGGAAAACATTTTTCTTGAAAAATATTTTCGAATTGACTTATTTTCCGTTGTTTGGTTATAATATTGAAAATTAGTTAAAAATATTAAAATCTTCATCTCAAAAGAGCATAAAAACATTAATAATAATAGAAATTTTATAATTTAAAATTTTTGTTGTTAAAAATGAAAAGAATGCAAAAAAATATATGTATATAAATTATGAAAGCCGTAGGTGGCCGGTGGTGATAGCCGGTGGTAAATGGTGACCGGTGATAGTGACTATGATGATTAATAAATTAAAAAATACGGATTTATAAGGTTCGTCAATATTCGGAAAATGTTTTACTTTCTTGAAAATAAGAAGTTGATTTCCTTAACAAATGACTTAATTTTCATTTGACTAGGAAAATCCATTGAAGTATTTTCCTGAACGCTCCAAACAACAGAAAATTATAAAAATATTTTCCTACAAGTTATTTTACAGAAACAAACGGAGCTTTATAGCTCACTTTGTTTTGCTCAAATCTCATATGATAGTAGAGACATTACTATTGATGGGCAGAGAAAATTAGTACTTTCAGGCTCTCTCCATTACCTGAATAGATATATATATATATATTGAAAATTAATTCATTTTTGATTGATTTGTGTAGTTATTTTCATAATTCGTCTGAACCTGAATGGACCAATGGCAAGGAAATATTTCTCAACGTGCAAACTAAGGGACCAGTTCTTCATGTTTTTGTAAATGGAAAATTTAGCGGTACATAACTTCTTTTTCAATTAATACAATAACAAAAATGAACTTTTAGGATCTCAATTGGCGCAATGTTGTCACTGTGAGTTCACTTTCAAAGCAAAAATTAATTTGAAGCATGGATATAACAGAATCTCCTTACTCGGTGCAACTGTAGGATTTGCGGTAAGTTTCTCTGTCAATTCCCTCCTGAAAACTCTCTAAATTTAGGTGTTTTTTCACTCCTGTTTTCTTTTTTATTTTGCTAGGGTTATGGATTCTCTGGACCCATCAAATTGATAGCAACATACAAAAATAGCAGTGAACCAGAAGCGGTCAAGGATATCTCAACGAGTAAGTGGGTATTTAAGACAGGATTACACGGTGAAGATGCAGGATATCACCAATCTCAACCAAAGCACCTTCATCAATGGTCTAACTTAGATCGTCCAATTAATCGACCCTTCACTTGGTACAAAGTACACTTGGCTTTAAATGTGTAAACTAAACATAATATTTTGAAGGGTTTGATAGTGAAATAATATGTTCGTTTTTTGCAGACAAATTTCATTACTCCAGGAGGAACAGATCCTGTAGCGGTGGACTTAAATGGAATGGGGAAAGGAGTTGCTTGGATTAATGGCATTAATATAGAGAGGTATTGGCCTCAATATCTTGCCAGTCAAGAAGGCTGTGACAATTGTCTGTGACTACAAAGGAAGCTACAAGCCCAGGGAGAAATGCAATACGGGGTGTGGAGAGCCGACGCAAAGACATTATCATCCTCCTAGAGATTGGCTAAGGCCAGAAAATAATGTGTTAGTATTGTTTGAAGAATTAGGAGGGAACGCAGAAAATATTCAAATCCAGAGTGTTACTATTGGTAAAATCTGCGCACATGCTGATGAAGGACAGACATTGGAAATAAGTTGCCAAGGTGGACATAGAATCAAAGAAATCACATTTGCTAGTTTTGGTGATGTTAATGGCAGATGTGGATCTTTCAGTCAAGGCAACTTTTATTCTGAAAATGCTTTGTCAATTGTCCAGAAGGTGATTTTACACTACCTTGTTTGTTTTGGTTTTGTTTTTCGTGAATTACTATTCTAATTTTCTGTAAAAATTACATCTGATCATTGTTTATGACTGATTTGCAGGCTTGTCTTAAGCAGAAGTAAGTGTTTTATTAATGTGTCTGAAGAGACCTTTGGGCCTTTACATTGTACAAGGATATGTACTTATAGGCTAGTTGTTGAGGCTGTTTGTTAGTTTTGTTTAAGACATATTTTGAATAGAAATACATTTGTGATTCCCACACTGAGTTAATAGCAAGGTTTTATATTTCCATCTCCCCTTGCATTCTTTCTTCCTGCTGCTCAGTCACATTTTCTATTACTACTTTACCACATAAACCACCTGTTTTAATGAAAAAGAAAAAAAAATAAGAAAAGTAGTCATTTTGGGTGAAAAGACAAATGAAAAAGAATGTCAAATTCACCTTAAAGGCAATCTCTAATGACTTCTAATAATAAAATAGCCTTGGCAAGCAATGAATATGCGAGTTTTAGGTACTTAATGGATAAAAAAACTTATTTGACTTCAATTTTTATCTTCAAAATATTGATTATCTTTGAATTCATATCCAAGCTTCTTCAACCTAAAATATAAAGAAGGTTTAGCTTATGAACCATTTCAGTTCATAAGCCAAAATACGAGAAATTATGTATATACTTCTGGACGAAAAACAATCCATGTATTCACTGCTGCTTAGCCATAATTGGAGAAATTACATATCTATTTATATACATGTATGTTACGAAACTAACAATCACAATGAAAATAGCAAGGGTAAAGAGATAGAAAATAGTACCATGTTTGATAGCATCCATTATCATTCGGTTCGATTATATTTAGTTAGAAAGTAATAATCAGCGCCAGTAATCTTTGCATGAGCAATGTCCATTAGAAAAGTGATGAAAACCTGAAGTATCCCTTAAGATTATCTCTCTCCTGGTGACAACTGAAACATATTTCAAGAACATATGGCAATCCCCGCACAAAAGAATGTTTTTCACAATTCGAATGGGTTTTCCTCGTTTGGTCAGCAGGAGTCCATATGTTGCTGCTAATTTTGCACTGTGATAGAATAAATATTCCTTTTTTTGATGCTCTTCTACATCCTGAAGTGTAAAGCTCGTATTCGGCACATAACCGAGCTTTAGACATTCCAAGATCAGTCTGTCTATCCCACTATAGATATCTTTTGTCTGGTAATGAGATTGATCTCTTACACAAAATGAATGGACTTCCTTCTGATGAATAATCCAACTTCGACATGGGTGTTTCCGCAAACCCTTCTTTCTCATATCCTCTCTGACCAATTCTGAACAATGCCACCTTCCAGAAGCTAAATACAGATTCGAGACAAGTGCATATGTGGATGGATCCTGTGGCTCCATGGCAACTATACGCTTTACAACCCGTAGTCCCATACTCATATTCAAGTGATATCTGCAACTTTCAAGTAAAGCTCGCCAAACAAAAGCCTCTGGCTCAAAGGGCATCTTAATGATCATTTCCTCTGCTTCTTCAAGGAGACCCCAATATCCTAAAACACTTACCAAAGAAGCATAATGCTCTGAAGTGGGATCAACTTCATAAGCCTTTTTCATAGAAAGAAAAAGATTACGACAGTCATCAACTAAATTTGAGTTAGTATGTCTATAAGCTAAAATAATCAAAATAAAAGTGACCGAATCTGGTTTTATGCCTTCCTTCACCATTCTTGACCAGACATCTAAGGCCCCATCTCCCTGTCTGTGAAGGAGATGGCCAGCAATCAAACAATTCCAAGAAACTATATCATGTATTGGCATAATGTTGAAAGATTTAATTGCATCATTCATGTTGCAACACTTGGAATACATGCTAATTATGGAATTTCCCACTACTACATTGGCTAGAAACCCAGATTTCAAAGCATGAGAGTGGATTTGCTCTCCCATCTCATGAAATCCTAAAGTCCCACAGACACCAAGTATTGAAGCCAATGCAACTTCATCCACAACTATTGCCCCTTCTAATTGGCTTTGGTGGAAGAGAGAAATTGCTTCTTCTGGCATCCCATTTCGTGCATAGCCACACAGCATTGATGTCCGGATAATTGAGCTATCCCAATCAGATGGCCAACTGCGAAAGATCTTGTCAGCATCCTTCATCCTTCCACACCTTGTGTACATGTCAAGTAAAGCTGTTTCAATGCAGGCATTTGATCCAAAACCAACCTTAGTGACAAACCCATGAATTTGTCTACTAATTTCAAATGACATTAGTATTCCACAAGCATTTACAATGCTAGTCAGAGTTAAATCAGTTAATTCTACTCTCTCCTGGACCATCTTAAGAAATAAATCCAATGCCTTCGATCCTTCACCATTTTTACAAAATCCAGCCAAAAGAGCGTTACAAGAAACAGTATTCCTCTCGGGCATATTCTCAAATACTTCTACAGCCAAATCCACCACCCCGAATTCCATATATGCCATAAACATTTGTGTTCTAGTAATTATATCCTTTACTGGCATTTTTTCAAACACGGCCAGAACATCCTTTAGACTCCCACACTTAGTGTAAAACCCAATAATTGCATTGTTAATACTCAAGTTGGCTTCTAATCCAATTCTAATGGCATGAGCATGAACCTCTCTACCTCCCATTGCAGCATGGCACCCAGCACAGGCAGACAACACCGTCAACAGAGTGCACCGATCAGCTCTAAAACCAGTAGTTAGATGCAAATCCTGAAACAATCGTAATGCTTTCTCATATAACCACTGATTGACCAAGCTGGATATTGCAGTATTCCAAGTTACAATATCTCTTTGAGGCATTTCATCGAACAATTGAGTCACATAATCAAAACACCCTGATTTATCATACAAACTCATCAAAGCATTTGCAATATAAGTACATTCCAAGTACCCTAACTTAATTATCAAACCATGAACTTGCAAACCCAGCTCTAATTCCGAAATCCTAATGCAAGCAATTAAAATAGCAAGCAAACTATACTCATTAACCTCAACACCTGAACTCCTCATTCGAAAGAAATGCACAATCGCTTCATTCTCTTTATTCACCTTAGCAAAACCCGAGATTAAAGTACTATAAGCCACTGCATCTGGGCTAGAGAGGTGCTTGAAAACCCCATGAGCATCAACAACAAAACCCAGTTTGACGTAAGCGGAAATTAGAGCATTACCGAGTTGGGTATCCTCATCAAGCTTGACACTTGCAGCATGTACTGCTCGAGCAAGGTCGATATTAGAGTATTTCACAGACAAGCGAAGCAAATTGGATAAATCGTCAGTCTCAATGTAAGAGGAACCTAAAGAGCTTAAAGGGAAAAGGGTGTCAATGTTTTGGGGATTCGAGAGAGAAGAGACTGGTAATGGTAGAGATTGATTTCTGGAGGTAGAGAAGTGAGGGAGGCGACCATGGAGTTTTGGTTTAAAGAAAGATGGTTCTTTTGGAGGGAAATGAAATGAATTGAGAGATAAAAATAAGGGAGACAAGCTGGTGGCCGCAGCCATGAGGTTAACCCCCAGACACAAATCTGTTTATTTTTCACCTACGAACATAAAGTTCGGACCTTTTTCGGCTTTCGAGTTATTGAAGTTCGGGACTTGTATAGCGAAAGGAAACCATTTATCACGCTAAGTTTATATATCAAGCACCACGAACTACATTATTTAGAAAACGGCACCTTTTATAGAAGCTGCGTCTGTCGTTTCTATCTTAAAGAAGCCGCAGAAAGTTCTGCTGACAGTGACATGAATTCAATTTCTTGCTATCTTAGTGATTTCGCCAAGGTTTTCCAGTTGAAAATGGAGAACTTGCATATTGAAATATTAGGGGGAAAAAACAGAGAGAGAGAGAGAGAGAGAGAACAATAGAAAGACATAAAAAATCGAACTTCTATAATATTAACTCGAAAGTGTCACTACAAATTTATTCACGTCTAAACAAATCCTAACAAAAAGCTTCAACAGCAAGCCTATAACTGAAAATCTGTCTGCATTCTGGAGGTAAAAGAGCAAAACTGTTTATATTGACATCGATTGTGCAATTTCTCTGGTTAAGACAGGCCTGCAAATTCAAACACAAACCATCCAATTATTAGAAAATAAACACACATCCAAAGAAGAAATTGAAAGAAGAAATTGCTCAAAGAAGAAAGAAGGCAAATATAAACTCACCTTTTGAACAACATCCAAAGAATCTATAGCATGGCATCTGCCTGGACTGTAATCCCCACATTTGCCTTGAGGATTACCAAAACTAGCAAAATTGATTTTAGTAATATTGTGTCCTCCTGCGCAAGCTAATTCCAATTTATTCCATTCATAAGCATTTGCACAAACTTTACCAACAGTAACTGTTTGGATTTGAACATTCTGTGGGTTGCCACCGAATTCTTCAAACAATACTAGCAAATTATTGTCTGGTCTTAGCCAGTCTCTAGGGATATGATAATATCTTTGTGTTGGTTGTCCACACCCAGTACTGCATTTACCAGAGTCATATTTGTTCTTGTAGTCACAAAAAATGCTACAACCTTCTTCACTGGCAACATTTTTAGGCCAATACCTCCCTATGTTAATGCCATTAATCCAAGCAACTCCTTTTCCCATTCCATTCAAGTCTACCACGACAGGATCGGTCCCATGAGGATACAAGAAATTTGTCTATATATAATAAACACAGTATGGTGAACCATAATGCAGTATAATGCAATTAGAGACATTTATAAATAATGAAATATATACATGTGTCTTACCTTGTACCAAGTGAAAGGTCGATCAATCTGAGGGATAGCAGACCAAGAAGGACTATAACGATGTAGAAGTTTATGATATTCAAGGTCTACACCATGTAATCCTGTCTTATGAATCCATCTATTTGTTGAAATATCCTTAATCACTTCAGGTTCACTGCCATTTCTGCTCCTTGCTATTAATTGGATAGGTCCAACGATTCCACATCCCCAGTAGTCAAAGTTAGGACCATAATTCTACACAAAACACACAAAAAAAAAAAAAAAGAATAATTATATTCAATTGTGGCACCCACAGATACTTTACATTATGTTTATTATGAAAAACTGTGTAAACAAACGCCTGTTTAATAGGCCAAGTCTGTCGTTCTGTCGCTCCAGTATTCTTGTTAGTCTTAAAAATTGATGAGCCCTGCAGAAAGTTTCGACTTTAGCAAACTCTTGGATCTGTGTGGCCGGGACATAGGCCAATTTCAAAAATTAATCTTGCTTCTTAGTGGAATAGTGTTTGGTTCTGCTCAAGGTAATATGTTGTCCTCATGTTTAGCCCAAATGAAAAAATGTAATGGTATGTGAGCGTTGCCTATATTGTGGAAGCACGAATATTTTAGTCGGGCCGGAATGATAAATAGACGAGAGACGAGAGAGAGCAATTTAGAAGTAGATGTAGAACACACTCCAGAAAAAGTAGCACATAAAATAAATCGGTGAACTTCTATATAACTTGAGATCGAATTTGAACTCCTGCGCAAAGATGTTCAACTTGATACTAGAAATTTATTCAGCTTTTGTCCTATATACTAAAAATCCTCTATTATCCAAAAGCCGCATTACAAAAAAGAAAACAGAGCAGAGCGCATAAATATATAACCGGCAAGAAATTATAGATCTATGTTCTGCCATGTCATCCCGGAAAAAGGTAAAAGAAGCATTGAAAAACTTGTGTTGTATATTATTTAGACAATGTCGTGTGGTCATATTTTTCTTCTTTGGTTGTCAACCCGAAAAGACTTAGATGACACTTTTTTTGCAAATATCAAGACGCACATAACTCCATTTTCCAAAAGCTTTCTCATAAGTTATTATAGTTAAAGACCAAGTAAATTACACTGCATTGCCATACCAAGAAGGAAATTGGTCAGAGAGATATGAAAATTCTTAGCTCTATAAATGAAAATTGAGAAACGACCATGGTCGGATAATTTTGAGTACCACACTGACAACAGTCTTTTTGGATATAACCACTAACAGCAACATTTAAGAAGAATTCTAATAGCAATAAGTGGCGGATCTGCCCCTGGCTTTGATAATTGCCACCCACACAATATAAAATAGGAACATCGTGTGGGAGAGATATAATGACCAGAGACACTAACTATGCAATAAATTGTGGAATCATCATATTTTAAGTTGAATATTGTTATAACCGTCTGTGACACTTCAGCCGATTCTTTGTTTGCGCATACGCATAAAAAATATACAAGGCCAATTATTTATTCCACACCAAAATCAGTTTTCAATTTTGGTTAAAGCCATTTTTGCACGAGAACCCTTTTAACCTTAATCAGTTAAGAACTGTTTCGGATTTGCAATTAAAGCATTTGTTGCCGGTGTGAGTGTTAGGCCCACCGCTTAAATCACGGAAACGTATTCTTTTTGCAATATAGCAAATATCAATACCCGCAAATTTATTGTCTTGTGTCTTAGCCAGTCCCTCTAAGGGATATGATAATATCTTTGTGTTGGTGCCCGTGTCTCATCACGCCCCAAAGTAGCTAAAATTTAGTTTAATTGAGGCAGTTTAGTTTGTCATTCATGACGTGATCATTATTGTGCAGTTGTAGGAATTTAGGAGTAGAAAAGAGAATATGCCATGAAGTGCTAAAACTGAATAGACCCAGGGTTTATTATTACCTGGGTCAGTCGTGGCATTTTCTAGCGCCAGAACTGTCATATTTGTCTCTCTTAGTTCTCGCAGAGTTTAGTAAGCTCATCACAAAGATATTGGCTGGAGACAATACAATTTCTCATTATTCTAACTAATGGCAACTCAAAATTTTTTTTAAATGGTGAGAAGCTAGATACAACTCCCCATAATGTTAATGTATCGACAGCATTAACAATACCAAGAGAACAAAAGTCCCCTTTATTCATACAAAACATTCCAAATTTCAAAAGTCAATATCTATACACGACAGGATCGTGCCGTCAGTAAGAAAGAGAATGACCCAAGTAAAAGAAAAAAAAGAAATATCTTGCCTGATCGTTGAATAGCCTATGTAGGGATGAGAGAGAGACGTAGTCAGTGGTTGAACCCACAGCCACTAATGCAAGTATAATTCAGCAAATTAGAGAGAACTCCAGTTTTCCACTAAATAATGGCAAAATACTGAGTAGAGCCCCATGCTGCGATACGCTTACCCCAAAATTTTGATTAACCAAGTGAAGGGGATAAACGGATCAGAGATCCCCTGGAGGGGGAGCTGGGCGTGCCCACCCGGCACTCGCTCGAAAAGGAAGGACTATAGCAACGGGATGTAGATCCTGGAAACGCGCCCCTTTTAAATGTATGCGAGATATGTCCCGCAATGGGCCTCCTATCCACCCATGTAATGGGCGCCTGTCCTTAAATGAGAGACTGGCCCATGCCTGGCCCTCACATTTGTTGAAAATATCCGCTTAATCACTTCCAGGGTTTCACTGCCATTTCTTGGCCTCGCTCTGCTCACAGTGTGAATTCCGGATAGGTCCAACGATTCCACCATCCCCAGTAGCCGTGTGCCCCTGCCCCTAAGGTTAGGCCACGCCAGATTGCTAGCAGGCAAAACACACAAAAAAAAAAAAAAACAAGACCCGATATAGATATAATCCCCTACTCTACAGGCCGCCGTGAGTGACCTGAGTAAAAAAAGTAAAAAACGCCGATGAAAAAATCCCATTCTCAAAGTTTAACAATGACTGATTTTGAAAGTCTGTATGCAACTTTGGAGCTGTTGAGCAGGTAAAAAAAAAAAAAAAAAGAATATAATCGTGATAATAAAAAAGTAAAAAACATAAAAATATTTAAATTAAATGACTATTGGAAAGTTGAGCAATTACTTACAGGTAATCCAACAGAAACACTAGCTAAAACAATTCGATTAGCTCCATTCACTAAACGAATCTCTCTTTCAAATTGAAAACCATAGTCATCAAGGTGTCCATGATAGTCAGAATATTGAGATCCTACAAAAGTAATTTGATTTTTCATTAGTCATTAAACAAATAGTAATTTGAAAATATATGATTTGGAGATTAGTAATTACCCACAAATCTTTTATTTACAAAAGCATGAATAATAGGCCCATTTGTTCGAACTTGGAGAAATATATCCTTATTGACCCATTGAGGATCAGATGAATTATGAAAATAACTGCATAAAAAAATAAAAAAAAAATAAACAATTATAAAAAATGGAATTAAAGAAAAAAAAAAAAAAAGAAACTTAGTGTGTTAATAACTTACAGTGTCAATAAGTACAAGTAATCACTGGTACCATTAGTTACTGTTTTCTGATCCAAAACAGCATTAGAAGCAACAAAAGCTCCACTGTCAAGATTTCCATTTCTATTAATATGAACAATTTGTTCAGGTGTGGATTGCCATTCCAATTTATAAGGTGTGTCGTCTTCATCCACAGGATGAATTGGCCTATTCACCATAACAGATGTTTGTGCATTCACCTATTTATCAAATGATAATCATCATTAGTTACTTAATTAAATAATTAACAGTGCTTTAATCATTAATTACCTTGGCGGTATTGTAAACTTCATGGAAACAATCGGGAGACAAACTAACAGACCAACCGGGAAGGAAAAGGTCCGCCCCTTCAAATGTTAATGTCTGGTCATTATAATCTATATTTGAAAAGAAGCAGCTTCTTTTTCCTTGATAAGAGAAAATGGTCGCCTAAAAAAATAAATGAAAGTAAAATTAAGATATATGATGAATTTTATTTTCAATTTTCAACAAAATAAATTAATTAACGTACCCATTTATTTTGACCGCAATCGATATCGGTTTTGTCACCATAAACTATATGATCCTTCATAGAATAGAGTGCCTCGTGAAGGTTTTTAAGATGACCCCATTTGGGTTGATTTAGATTACCTAATGAAAAATTAATATTGAAATGAAAATTAATTAATTACAAAAGAAATTAATTAAAGAGTTTAACTTTAATTTCTTACCATATTCATCAATTGGTGCATCATAATCATATGATGTGGTGATGTATGGACCTCCACCTGTCTCACCAAAGTTGGTACCACCATGATACTACAACAGAAATAATTTTTTTTGTTAAACATTACATTATTTATTTCCATTCAAATAAAATTATATTTTAAAGGAAGGAAAAAAAAAAAAAAAAAAAATTTAAATATTGCGGCCCTGTTCCGATTACCTAGGTATACTGAAAATGTGTTCTGCTCTACAAATACAAAAAAAACAAGTTATATCCTGAGAAGCTTAAAACTTATAATGTATTAAGGTGGGAATTGGGCAGAAAATAGATTATTTATCATGTTCTATATATTTTCTCATTTTCTTCCTCAAACCTAAAATAAATTAATCTTAACAAAAAGATAACCACCCCATTTTTGGCATGTGATATTTTATGGAGACTCCTATAATGCATAAATTCAAGGGGGAGCCACATGTGGCAATTCGTATTTATGTCGTTTTGTTCACAAATGCTCTAATATAGCTACTAAAATTGATATTCACTTCTCTGGTGGATATATTGAGTTGCGTGTCCAATGATGTACAGGAATATTAATAGGGGTGAAAGGAAATTGTATCGTCTCCTTTTGTCCGTGCGCTTAGAAATTTAGATTAGGCGTCAAATTTCTAAAAGTCTCGGAATTTAATTGAAATAGAATTTAATATATCTTAGAAACACTGAATAAAAAATTTTTAAAATTAAAATTTTAATGGCTCAAAAGAAAATTTTAAAATTTTGTATAGAAGGGCATGAATATATTTTTAATTATCTTTTAATTTTCTTATAGCCAGAAATATTTCATTTCTCTATGTGTGGATAGGCAAAATCAATCTATAAATCCACCATATGAGGCAAATGGTGCGCTGTAAATCATGTTGATGGGTAGCCTGCAGTAACCATAAAACTGTGTTCGCATACCACACGAACTAGTAGAGCTTTAGGGTGATACTCCTTCTAAGGAAACCTTTTGGATAGAGAGAAAACAATCATATATGAGCCACAAAAAAATTCTTTTTCCTCTCCTACCTAATAAAGTAATACTTATCAAACTAGTAGAGTGAATTTAAATATTTAGTTTTTTTGTTAAATTTCATCTAAAATATACTATATTTTATTTTTTCCTCGCTTGAATAGTTCAAATTATCATATTTATATATCTTAGTAATAATTGAAAGTGTTTGAAGGTAATTTCCACACATAAAAAAACCTTAAAAAAGAAAAAGACTTGAACCATAGTGTGTCTTGTTAGTAACTTTTCCTTGTGTCATTAAGGGTTTACGGCATTTCATATTTTGGGGGTGGTAATACAAGAATTACAAGCCGGCTAACAACCCTGCCTATATATTATTGCACGGGTAACAATTACTCTAGCAGTTTTCTGCTTGAATGGTAATGCGCTTAGTTACTTCCTCTACCCACTATAGACTATAAAAAGATCACTTTTGTATTTTACTTTACCTTGGATAGTAGAGAAAATCACGAAGATATAAAATAAATATAAAATTAGATAAACAAAAAGAAGAATTATAATGAAAGCCAAAACTCCATACCGCCTTCGGCAGTTCCATATTCTCAGTTAGCTCTAAAATCTTGTAAGGTAATCCTATCATTTTGTTCACATTCAGAATGTCAACATTAAATCAGGTTCCCTCATTTTCCGCCGAAATAACACACTAAGATAACCCGCCCGATAGAATCTCATTGCCAGAAGATTGAAAACTAATCCTTGGTGTATTACATCCTTCATAAGGACAAATGGTGATTTGAAGTTAAATCTGGTGTGGTTTTTTTTATATTACATAATATTTATTTACCTTTATCCTATAAAAAAAAATTAATGTGAATAACATAAAAAAAAAATTATAAATATATTGCCATGTTACGGAAGAACGATGGTTGTCATTGCACTTAGATATCTGTTTTCTATACCACATAATAAGCAGGCAAGGGGAATAGCAAACGAAAGTAATTTTAAAATCCTCTAATATGAGGACTCCTAGATTAGTCCAAGATCATCCTTTCCACTCTGAAATAAAAATAAGATTCGCTTCGTTGGACGCTTCATCCTTTCTCCTAGTCGCTCCTTATTTCTATTCATCAATAAACAGTGTGTCCACAACAGATTCTTTCTCAAAATCTTTTTGAAAAAGAAAGCTCATTTAAAAACATTAAATTGGATGAAATATAACTGAGTATAAGACTAATTAGATAAAAGTAATCAAAACTTAATTATATAAGATAATTTGGTGGTTTATCAAGAAAATTGCTCATACCATCTTATAACCCTTGAGCGGATATCCAGTTAGGGAACGTACAGCTTCCTCACTTGCCGTCTTGCTAAAACAGACATAGTACCTTTTGAATCTTTCCGCATCTATTCCTCTTCCACAATCAAACTCGTTCGCTGACCAACTTTTTTCATCAATTCATTTTCTGCCAAATAACCTGATTATACAAAAATTCTCTATAATTTCTTAATACGCACCATGATTATTTATACCAAAATATATATTATAGAAATATAAAGAGGTTTATAAGAATGAAAATAATTAATAATATAATCATCAATATTGCTTTATAGAGATAACACATAACTCTCCTGTGTTCGTAATCGAAAAATGAACCACTTGGTCCATATATTTTGTTCTACTAGAAAATGTCAATAATCATTCTGTTTTTCCCTGTGCTTAGGTGACATAGCTACTCAACCAAAGGCGGCGAGTAAATTCCTCCTTTCTTACCATGAAGGTTATATTAATATTAGTGATAAATATATGAAATTGATTAAAGTTAACCCATAATAATAGATTGACATATCTTAAATTATTTTATATTGTATATTTTGATCTAAATAAATTATAATACAAATCTTAAGATCGCTGTAACACTAGACTTATAGATGTCTTCGGAGAACCCTAATATTGAGCTCTGTCCAATAAAGCAGAGAATCTGATTATTGGTCCACAAAATTCTTAAAATAGCATAAGCCCCTTCAGATCCGACCCTTCTTCTGCCAATCATTCGTTGGTTAGGTGAAGTTAATTAACCAAGTCAAAACTGGCATATTATGTTCTTTCGCAACAGATTCGACAAGATTTTAAATGTCTAAACTACTACTCTAAGACCAAAAAGAACAACCAGAAACGCGCAGTAAATGAAGGTTTTAAACTAGCAAACAAATTTGCGAATAATATTCTAAGTGGGAACCATAAAAGAGGATAAAGATCTAGGTTTTTTGGAATCCTTATAATTTATGGCCATCTCTTGTGAAATCAATATAACATAACAAAGATAATTGGTTTTAAATTAATATTCGTCTAACAAAATAAAAATAAGAGAAAAAACCCTTGTATAACACGATGAGACTGGTAATAAGCGTTTCATAGTTTGGAAGCACGATTCTCTCCCAGCACTAAAAACCATCGCATGTTAGTGTTCTCTCAATTGGCGCAGGAAAGACCGAAAGTGGATTGTAGCTGCGAACGTCTTAATGTTGTCGCCCCGAACCCGCTTTTAACTAATATAAGCTTTGGGACTACTATCCTCGAGATCGTATAAGAAAGAAATATAACAAATACCTTAATTTATATATATTAGTGCAAATTGATTCGTGTCAAAAGCTCTCGCAATTATAATTAAACCCAAACATACCATTTATAGTAATCTTACCATTTAATATTATATTAACCAAAATTCCACTATGTTGTTTAACTACTCCTTGGGAGTTTGTCTGAACGAAATGCCTAAAGCAGAAAGTAATTGGTGTTATGAGTAACACTCAGTACGCAATGTATAGAGTTTTTTTCTCCTCTAAATCTCCGCATTGAAGTCCTAATAATTGCAATTGGAAGTCTCTCATACCAATCTTTCGTAACATTACCTGAACATTAGAACTCCATGAGCCCTGGATGTGCACAATATCAGTACATGGAAAAACTCAAGAGAGTAAGATGAAAATATAACCGCTAGTAGTCCCTCATCACACTAAAAACAATGCCGAACTAAATAATAGTAGAAGATTAAGTCCATCTAATTTGATGAGAGGATGGGAAGATAATAAATTTCTTTAACTAGTGTTGTTGAGGTTTGATATTAATTAAATGTTCTATACTTTCATGAAGGTATGTTTAACTTGATTAAGCTTCCTCCCATCAGTTGAGAAGAAATAATGCGCTTTGTTATTTTATTGTTCTAGCGCACTTAGATGATATGTAGTGAATGGTAAAAGAACCTAAGGAACCAGTGCATGTATTGGAGAAGAAGATTTTTGCTGAAATCTTTTTTTAAAAATGAAATAAAGATAACAATCATTAGTTTTATTAATATCTATCACCATTTTTTAAATAATTAATCTAATAAAAGTCCTGTCTGATTGTGTATTATTAATTCCTTAAAAATCATTTAATGTGAGACTTGTGATCCGGTAAAGCTTGCCTCAAAATGGTTTTTTTTTTTGATAAAAAACCTTGTTTTGAAATCATTTTTCATTTAACTAGTAGGTATAATTACAACGTTTTTTTTTCCTTGTAATTTTGTTTTTGTAGTATTCCAATTAGAAGTACTACGTTTGTAAGTATGTTTTTTTAACATAAGGAATTATTTAAATCAAAAATAAAGCCAAATTATACAGATATTGAAGAATACCTTATGGTCCTGCATCAAAGTTAAATCTCTTTTGCCGTCTTCCTAAAACATAGTCATTATCATAACAACATTTCGTGAACTTTGAGAATTTCACGAAAAGTTTAGAAAACATTTTGTGTAAGTGGATATTTGCTATACTCCATAAATGTTACTTATATTATCTTGTATAATTTCCTTTTTTTTTTTTTTTTGTTTCCTTAGACCTTTTTTTTTTTTAAATGAATAAAACAAAAAAAAATTAACATTGATAATGCTTCAAATTAATTTTTGCCCTTAAAAGTCATAATAACAACATTTCGTGAACTTGAGATCCGAAAAGTTAAATTTTGTTGTCGTATTAATTGAAAATAAAATATCAAAGGAAACAGAAAAAACGTAATTATGTACAAATGAATTTTCCATTTACAAAAGTATCAATAGGTCCATTAATTTGCACACTGATAATTATTTTCTTGTTCCATTGTAGTTCAGAAGAATTATGGAAATAACTACACAAATCCATCAAAAATAAATTAATTTCCAAAATAATAAAAAAATAAAATATAAATTATCATCTTCCTAGAGATTGGTTAAGGCCAGAAAATAATGCGTTAGTATTGTTTGAAGAATTAGGATGCAACCCAGACAATATTCAAATCCAGAGTGTTACTATTGGGTAACATTTGTGCACATGCAGATGAAGGACATACACTGGAAATAAGTTGCCAAGGTGGACAGAGAATCAAAAAAATCAAATTTGCTAATTTCGGTCGTGTTAATGGCAGATGTGCATCTTTCAGTCAAGGCAACTGTTATTCTGAAAATGTTTTGTCAATTGTCCAGAAGGTGATTTTACACTACCCTGTTTGTTTTGGTTTTGTTTTGGGGAATTATTATGTGATGGGACATCAAAAAATTACATTTGAATTGTTTATGTTCGATTTGCAGGCCTGTCTTAAGCAGAAGAAGTGTTTTATTAATGTCTCTGAAGAAACCGTTGGAAGAAAAACAATCCATGTATTCACTGCTGCTTAGCCAAATTTGGAGAATTTACATATCTATATACATATATGTTATGAAACTAACAATCAAAATGAAAATAATTAGGGTAAAGAAATAGAAAATTGTACCATGTTTAATAGCATCCATTGTTTTGCAGCTCAATTATATTCAGCTAGCAAGTAATAATCAGCGCCAATAATCTTTGCACGAGTAATGTCCATTTGAGAAGTGATGTAAACCAGAAGTATCCCTTAAGATTATCTCTCCTGGTGACAACTGAAACATATTTCAAGAACTTACAATCCCCGCACAAATTCCGAACCTCTCTACCTCCCATCGCAGCATGGCAACCAGCACAGGCAGCCAACACCGCCAACAGAGTGCACTGGTCAGCTCTAAAACCAGTAGTTAGGTGCAAATGCCGAAACAATCGTAATGCTTTCTCATATAACCATTGATTGACCAAGCTGGATATTGCAGTATTCCACATTACAATATCTCATTGAGGCATTTGATCGAACAATTTAATCACATAAGCATTTGCAACATAAGTGCTTTCTGAGTGCCCTAGCTTAATTATCAAACCATGAACTTGCAAACCCACCTCTAATTCTAAAATCCTAATACAAGCAATTAAACTAGCAACTAAACTACACTCGTTAACCTCAATACCTGAACTCCTCATTAGAAAGAAAAGCACAATCGCTTCATTCCCTTTATTCACCATAGCAAAACCCGAGATTAAAGTACTAAGCCACTGCATCTGGGCTAGCGAGGCGCTTGAAAACCGCATAAGCATCGACAACAACACCCAGTTTGACGTAAGCGGAAATTAGTGCAGAAGAGACAGGTAATAGTACGGATTGATTTCTGAAGGTAGAGAAGTAAGGGAGACGACTATGTAGCTTTGGTTTAAAGAGAAATGGTTCTTTTGGAGGGAAATTAAATAAATTGAGAGATAAAAACAAGGGAGATATGCTGGAGAGGGCAGCCATGAAGTTACGCCAGACACAAATCGCGTTATTTTTCACCTACGCACATAAAAGTTTGGACCTTTCGGCTTTCGAGTTATTGAAGTACGGAAATTGTATAGCGAAAGGAAACCATTTAATCGTTTACACACTACCTCACGCGTTTATATATCAAGCACCAACTACATTATTTAGAAAACGGCATTTTATGGAAGCTGCGTCTGGCTTTTGTTTCTCAAAGAAGCCACAGAAAGTTCTGCTGACAGTAAAACTTTTCCATAATCAGTGACAGTGAAAACTGCCATTAAAGCCCATTAATTCATTTCTTGCTATCTTAATGATTTTCGCTAAGGTTTTCCAGTTGAAAATGGAGAACTTATATTGAAATATTAGGGGAAAATAAAAAGAAGAGAAGACATATATATATATAAAAAAAAAAAAACTCAGTCTTTATAATACTAACTAAGTATCATTACAAAAGTTATTCCTGCCTAAAGAAATCCTAACAAACTGCTTCAACAGCAAGCCTATAACTGAAAATCTGTCTCCATTCTTGAGGTAAAAGAGCAAACTTGTTTATATTGACATCAAGTGTGCAATTTTTCTGGTTAAGACAGGCCTGCAAATTCAAACACAAACCATCCAATTATTAGAAAATAAACACACCAAAGATTTGAAAAAATATAAAAAGGGAAACATAAACTTACCTTTTGAACAACATCCACAGAATCTATAGCATGGCAAGTGTTCTCTTTTTTTGTTTTCCAAAATGTGTGGGTACCACACTTGAGTGGAACACAATCACAACATCAAAATATGTGGGTCCCACTTGAGTGGGCACCGCCACAACACAGGAAAATTTGTTGTGGCGGTATCCACTCAGCTAGAACCCATACGTTTTGATATTGGTGGTGTTGTTCCCACAGCCTGCTGAAACAGTCAGCTCTACTCAGCTGGAACCCATACGTTTTGATATTGGTAGTGTTGTTCCCACAGCCTGCTGAAACAGTCAAGCTCTCATACCAACAGTGGCACTCAAAAGTGTTTCCTCACTGTTTGTTTCTCCCATAATTTTGGAAAACCTTTCATAAAATTAAACAACTCAGAGCTTTGCTATCATTATTTTGGTGTGGAGAGATGAAGCAAATCATTTTCTATTTATAGGAGAGGAAAACGCGCATAAAACACGTTTTCTTTGTTTTTTTTTTATTTTCAAAGCGGATGGATCCCACACATGAGTGGGAACACCACCACAAATATCAAAATGTGTGGGTTCCACGTGAGTGGTCACCGCACAACGCATTGTAAATATTCTTTTCCTACTTCTCCATAGCTATTTTCCACCGTCCATATCCATTTTCAATCTTTGAAAAAAATATATAAATATTAGTATTAATTAATAAAATCAAAATTAATTAAAAAAAATTTGAACAATTTAAATTAAACCTGAGCAAGGATAATAGGTCCTCCTGTGTTTTAAAAAGATTGTTGTCTTTCATCATTTCCACAATCAATGTTGTGAAATTTTTCATCTCATTCTACAAAAACGAAATTAAATTTTAGAAAAATATAATTATCTAATATTAAAGTGAATAGATAAATAATATTATAATAAACATTACCATGAAAGCTACATTATTTGTTCTAAATTGCATTCCTAGCAAGCTACTCAACCAAACCGGAAACCCTCTGAAATAATGTAATACATAATAAAGAATTATAATAAACAACAAAATATATAAAATTTAATTTAATTTTTCAAAATTTATAACTACCCATAATTCCACTCTGAGCAAACATATGGTCCGATTCTTAAAAAAACATAAAGCCCTTCGTCTTGAATCGTCTTGATAAATTTAACCAGGTCATGATTCCCTGTAAAATCATACTAAAAAATACAAAATTAATTAATCAAATAGATATCAAAATTCATAAAATAAAAGAAAAATAATACCTGACGATGTTGTGGCTCATGAGCATTCCAAAAAACATAGGTCTCAATTGCATTAAGACCTCCTAATTTTGCCTGTTTAATAAGTTTTGGCCACATCTGAAAGTAAAGAAATAACAAAAAAAATATAAATTAAATAAATGGTAATTAAACATAATTAAAACCAAAATTATAGTAATTAATTAATATAACGAAATTACTTACTCCAGGAGTGCTACGAGGGTAATAGATGGAACCAGAGATTATGATTTTCCTATCTCCATTGATTATAATAGCTCTATTGTCGTAAGTGACAGCAAAAGAATGGGAAATAAGAGATAGAAAAATAGCTAAGCTCAGTCCACTAACAATGGCGAAATAAGAAGAAGAAGAAGAAGAAGCCATTTTTGCTGAAGGATGGAAAATCTAAGTGTTTAGTGAAGAAAAACGAGCTGTATTTATAGCACAGATTAGATGAGGAAGAACTAGAAAGGATAGGATTTTAACTTTTAAAATAAATTCAGATTATATTATTATGTATCCAAAATTTAAATAATTTGAAATGTGGGTATATATGAGAATATTTTAAATAGTGGTAAGTTCAAATAGAAATTTAGATTATTTCATAATAATTACTGTCCTCTTTACAAAATTAAACTAGCAATTTGGAGTCTAATTAATAATTAATTATTAACACAAAAATATGTTTTTTATTTTATTTTTTACATTATAAGGAAGGCAAACCTTAAAAAAGAAGGGATGAAATTTTTAACCAATGGAGATATTGAATTATTTTCTTTTTCTTGTGTGATTAATTTATGTTTATTCTAGTTTTTATTTTTTTGGGATGTAATTTCTAGTTATTTGAACTAATAAGGAGTTTCACTGTAACAATTGAGATGGAAATAATGATTTGTTGCGTGAAAAATAGTAATTTGTTGCATTGATCATTATATTAGAGATATCTTATATTAATTTATAATAAGTTGTGAAAATAACCAATAATTTTGACCATTATTTTAAATATATTTGATTTACGTTTCTTAATTTTTAATTAAAAAAATTAATCATCTCTAACTTTCGCTTCTAATCGAACCCAAATTAATTAGATTTTACAATATTTTAATTCTTTTAATAGAAGAATATATATTCATTCCTTGTGAAATTCTATTAATAATCAAAGTTAAACTATAAACTAATATATATATATATTGATAGGTTGAAATATAAATAAGAAAAAAGAGAGAGCAAAATATATAAAAATCTAAACTTTATAATATTAACTTATAAAAGTGCCACCACAAATTTATTCATGGCTAAAGAAGTCCTAAGTATAGTCACAAACAGCTTCAACAGCAAGATTATAACTAAATCTAGTTTTGCAATCCTGAGGTAACTGAGCAAAATGGTCTACATCAACATTAATGGAGCACTTTTTCTGGAGAAGACAAGCCTGCAAATACAAAAACCCATTCAATTATTAAAAAATGAACACCCAAAATAAAATTAAAATGAATAATTCAGCACTCTTCTCCTTAAACATGAGGTCATCCTCATAGATAAAGTAAATATTTACTGGGAGCACTTTATCTCTTAAAGACCGACTCAGTGCGAGTAAGATTTTAAAATGATCGAAAAAAATTCAAAAACTATAAATTTACCTGTTGAACAACTTCCATGGAATCTGAAGCATGACAAGTGCCCATATCATATTCTCCACATTTACCTTGAGGATTACCAAAGCTAGCAAAGCTAATTTTAGCAATGCTATGTCCTCCTGTGCAAGCTAATTCCAGAGTACTCCCTTCATAAGCAAATGCACAAATTTTACCAACAGTAACTGTATGGATTTGAACATTTTGGGGGTTTCCACCTAACTCTTCAAACAATACAAACATATTTCTATGTGGCTTTAGAAAACCTCTAGGGATATGATAGTATTTTTGTGCTGGTTCTCCACACCCAGTATTGCATTTCTCTCTGGTATATTCTCCCTTATAATCACAATTAGAGTCACAACCTTCTTCACTGGCAAGATATTTAGTCCAATATCTCCCTATATTAATTCCATTAACCCAAGCAACTCCTTTTCCCATTCCGCTCAGGTCAACCACGACAGGATTGTTTCCTCGAGGATAATAGAAATTTGTCTGTATATAAATAAATATGCTATGGTGAGCCGTAATGAAATATAATGTAATGAGATATTTTTTTTAAGATTGAAATTATATGTATTACCCTGTACCAAGTGAAAGGTCGATTAGTTTCGAGAGCTGAAGACCAATTGGCTCTATAACAATGTATAGGACTTTGATATCCGAGATCTACTCCATGTAATCCTGTCTTGTAAACCCATCTATTTGTTGAAATGTCCCTAATCACTTCAGAATCGTTTCCAGTTTTGCTTCTTGCAATTATTTTGATAGGTCCAACAATTCCAGTTCCCAGGTTTTCAAAGGAAGCACCATAATACTACACAAAATAAATAAAAACAAAATAATAAAAAAATATTTGTTATTATAAAATGGAAAATACACTGAACAAATTATTAAAAAAAAAGTTATTAATTACTTACGGGTAATCCAACAGAAACACTAACTAAAACGATGCGATTAATTCCTTCCAATAAATGAATTTTTGTCTCAAATTGAAAATCAAAATTACCATCCTCTGCAGTTTGTGATCCTGCAAAGTTATTTGATTTTTATATTAGTCATTGAAAAATTAATAATTTGAGAATAATATCTCAAAAAAATTAATAATTACCAAAGAATTTTGTATTTACAAAAGCATGAATCACAGGCCCAAACGTATGCACCTGCAGAAATATATCCTTATTGACCCATTCAGGATCAGTGGAATTATGAGTATAACTGCATAAAAAATAAAATAAAATAAATAATTTTAAAAAATAAATTAAAATAAAATAAAATAAAATAAAATTATTAATAACTTACAGTGTCAATAACCACAAATAATCACTGGTACCGTTAGTTACTGTTTTCTGATCCAAAAGATAATTAGAAGCAATAAAATCTCCTTTATCAAGATTTCCATATCTATTAATATTAATAATTTGTTCCGGTGTCGACTCCCATTCCAATTGATAAGGAGTGTTATTACCGAGAGGATGAATCGGTCTGTACATCATAATAGATGTTTGTGCATTCACCTATATATAATATTCAAATTATGATAATTATTAGCTATAATTAAAATAATTAAACAACTTAATTATTGTTTATAAAATAATTAATTACCTTGGCAGTATTGTAAACTTCTGTTTTACAATCAGGAGAAATACTAACAGACCAACTGGGAAGGAAAAACTCATTCCCTTCGAATGTAATAAAACTATCATCGTCGTATATATTCGAAAAGAAACAACTTCTTTGTCCTTTGTAAGAGATAATCTTCGCCTAAAAAAAAGGAATTAAGATATAAATTAGATAATATTGAAAATTATATCATTTTTTTCTTTTTTGTTGATAAAAAAAATTATTTGTATAAACAAAATAAAAAAAACTTACCGTTATACTGCCACCCAAATTGACCTCTGTTTTGTCACCAAAAATAAGATTAATCCCTAAAGAAAATAATACCTCGTGAAGGTTTTTAAGATGTCCCCATTTGGGTTGATTAGGATTACCTAATAAATTTAAAATAATAATAATTAATTAATTATAATAAATTATTTGAGGGTGATTTGGATTACCTATATTTAAAATTATCAATAATTAATTAATTATATATTAAAAGTATGAGGATCTACTTAAAATATAAAAAAATAAGTTTTAAAATGGTGTCTTACTCAATCTAATCATTCCAAGAGGTGGAGAAAGATCATCTATATCATTAGTGGATTGTGTAGACATAATGAGACATCGCACAGCCTCGTGTTCTCACCAAAAATTCGGAATTACCACCATGATTTACGTGACAATGGGAAATTTATAATAATTAGTTTTTAAAATTATATTCTTAAATTAAATAAAATTAAGGCTCTCTCTTGTAAAAAAACCCAAATACACATACAACACACAGAAATGTATTTACAAACTCCATCAAATTTAGGAGAAAGAGAACGGAAGGATGCATACAGAAGAAATGCAAATGTACTACTCAGTTCGAGTTCTATGGGGCTTGTCTTTTAAATTAAAATTAAAATTAATTAAAATATAAAAAAAAAATAAGTTTTAATTTCTTACCATATTCATCAAGTGGTGCATCATAATCATATGATGTGGTGACATATGGACCTCCAGCGGTTTCACCAAAATTGGTACCACCATGATACTACAATGGGAAATTAAATAATTAGTTTTTAAAAATTATATTCTTAAATTAAATAAAATTATATTTTGTAAAAAAAATAAATACTAACCATATAGTAATTTACCAAACTACCATCATTTAGGAAGAAACGAGCAACAGAAAATGCAAGATCCTCGGCAGTTCTATGGGCTTGTCTTCCTCCCCATTTCTTATAGCTAATTTAATTTTTTGGATTATTAGAAAAAAAATATACGAAGAAAATAAAATAAAAAAAATTAATTAATAATAAAAAAAAAAGGCAACCTGCCAGTCCAATTCTCAATCCACCATTTTGGATCTGTATCCTTTTTATGATTTGGAGGGTACCATTGGTCACAGTACCAGCCATTGCAAGTAGCGATCTGTACTGACAAATATTAAATATGAATTAATTAGTTTATAAAATAATTGTTAAAATTAATTAAATAAAATTAAGGATTAATTAACGTATAATACCACATCATAGCTTTCTTGTTGGCCCATGATCCAAGGGATCAAAAGATTAAAACTTTTAGCCAGATCAATACACCATTGTGCATATGCTTTTCCAGCTTCTCCATAGCTATCTTCCACAATCTCATAATCATTTTCAATCTTTTATATTTAAAAAAAAATAAAATAAAAGTTAATATTACTGTATAAAATCAAAATAGTAAAAAATATATTTTAATAATTTATTAAATTGAACCTGAACAATGATTATAGGTCCTGTTTGGTCTTCAAAAAGATCATTGTCTTCCAGTGTTTTCACAATTAATGTTGTGAAATTTTTCATCTCATCCTATTAAAAATAAATTAAAAAATGAACAAAATTATATTTTACAGAAAAAAAAATAAAAAAATAAAAAAATAGTAATTAAAATTACCATAAAAATTGTATTGTTTGTTCTAAATGAAACGCCTGGCATGTTTTTCAACCAAACTGGTAACCCCCTGATAGATAATAATAGAAAACATTAATAAAAATAAAAATCAACGACATTATAAATCAATTTAATTTATAAAAATTATAATTACCCAAAACTCCACTCGCCAGAAATATATGGTCCAATCCTTAAAATAACATAAAGCCCTTCTTGATGAACCGCCTTGATAAATCTCACCAAGTCAAGGTTCCCGGTAAAATCATACTAAAAACACACACACATATATATATATTAATACATTTTTAATAAATTATTTAAATGAGAAATTTTTTTAGAAAAAAAAAAAAAAATACCTGACGATACTGTGGTTCATGTGCATTCCAAAAAACGTAGGTCTCAATCGCATTAAGGCCTCCTAATCTTGCATTTCTAATAAGACTTGGCCACATCTATAAATAAAGAAATAAAAAATATATAAATAAAATGAATGGTGAAAATTACTTAAAAACCAGAAGTACTTACCCCCGGAGTACTGCGAGGGTAATGGATAGAACCGGAGATTATGAGTTTCCAGTCATCTTCAATTATGATTGACCTGGTGTCCTCGGACACATAAGAATCACAAGGATGGGAAATAAGAGATAAAAAAATAGCCAAGGATGAAATAACAATGGCAAAAGAATGGGAAGAAGACATTTTTGTGAGAGGAAGTGAAATTTAGAAAATTTGAGAATTTATAGCCCAAATGAAATGAAATGATAAAAACTAAAGAAAAGATAATCAAATTTTAAAATAGATTTCAAATATATTTTGATTCTTAAAATTGAAATTTAAATAATTTGAAATGTGGTTATTTATGTGTTTTGAGAAGATTGTTTTGTTTGAATGAGATTTTGAGAATATTTTAAATGAATAATTAGATATTATGGATCTGCGGTAGCTGTTAATTATTTTAAATGTTTAAAAACTAGTTCAAAACGCTAATATAAAGAGTTTAAAAGCTTGTGGCAATAACTAATCAATATTTAAGTTCAGTTTAGATAGATTATACTTGAGAATAATAAAACCACTTGTTTTGATTTTCATTTTAATTATTCTATTCTATTTTTTATGTTTTCTTTTATATATATAAAGCCAATATCGATGTTAAAGTTTGCCTTTAATTTACCAAACATGAGCTTTAAAAAAAAATTCTGATAAAAGCTTTGGCATTCAGATTTGATCAAAGATCAAAGTTCACAGTTATCGAAACAGTTAATTTATCTAACAAATTCGAAGTATTTTTTTTTTCATTATAGAAAATAATTAATTAATGATTGTAAGTTCAAAGTATCTTTCTTTCATTGTAAAAAATAAGTATTTCGTAGTATTTGAGTTTGTTTTCTGAATATATTAGCAAATTAATCTTTTAAATCTGATTGGTATTTTCAATTATACAACAATGTCATTTCTATGTCCGGTAGGTTGAAGCGGACAACTTTAGCTTCATGCCCTATGTTTGATGTTTACCAGCATGATTTGATTAATATATTTTGAACTATTTCAGCTCTTTTTCAAAAAAAAAAAAAAAAAAAAAAAAGAGATTTCAGTCTTTTTCTCGCAAAAACATAAAAAAAAAAAAAATGAAAAATCTACGGGAATCGATGTTATTCGGGCTATTGAAGTCGCTTAATGTAAATTTATATTTATATTTTTGAAAATTAACTTTGATTTTCAATTATTTTTGATAAAAAATATTACTTTTGTGATAATGAATTAAAAAACATTATATGAAGCTACTTACATTATCATTAAATAAATATATAAACTAAAATAAAAATGTGAATGTCATAAATGTAGACTTATAACCATGGGGACTTAGCCAATTTCAATTTTGTTCTAAAAAAAAAAAAAAAAAAAAAAATCTACGGGATCGATTAATTCGGTTGAAGTCGATTTTAATTTATTTTTTTGAAAATAATTTGATTTCAATTATTTTTGATAAAATTTACTTATTGTCTGAATTAAAAAAAGTATATAGAATAAAATATCATTAAAATAAAAATAAAATCGAATGTAAAAAATACTAAACCAAATCGAACTTAGCCAATTCAATTTGTTTTTACGGTCCGTTTTGTCGAAACTACTCTGGGTAAACTGACTAATAAAAGTCAGCCATCAACACTCTCTTTGACGTCGACAAGCTTTACCTTTTCGATCATGCTTTACTCTTACTAGCTCCATGGACGACCCTCGCAAGCATCAGGTGCCCCTCTTTCACTTTGTGGTCAATTTAAAATTTCTAACCAGAATCGGTCGATCAATTTAAAATTTATAATTTGATTCTGTAAAATTAAGTAATTGAACGTTAATTAGCACTGAAATGTTTGTATACCTACTTTAATTGTATTTTTTGTTATATGAGTTTGTGTTAATATGGATTGAAAATGGATGGTTAGGTGTCCTTAAGAGGGGCAAGTGCCAGAGAGATTTCAAGGGATGCCCTTCTTGAGAAAGTCTCTCATGAAAGGGAGCTCCGTAGTTATGCTAGACGAACTACTGCTTCTGCTATCTTTATACAGGTAGGTACAGGTTATTTGAGAGGTATTATTAGAAGTAATTACATGTGATAATTAACTGTCTAAGCTTCATTAGTATTATTATTAGGAAAGTTAATTTTGCTTGCTTTTATGTTTTTTAATATTGGGTATTATGATTTGATGGTAAAGTATGTTTTTTTATTTTTATTTTTATTTTTTTTTTTATTTTGGGTATTGTAATTTGATGGTAAAGAAAGGAGGTTACTTGGTAATGATGCTTGAACAGGGTAATGAATGTGATGGGATAAGTAGAAAATTTTAATTTTAATTTCTTTTTCTCTAAGTTAGAAGTTGAGCTGAGGTTTAGAATGTGAAGATGACCCTTTTTTTTGGGTGGGTGGTGGATGTTTATTTACAGAGAGTTTGGAGGCATTATAGTGTGACCAAAAAAGTAGCTTTGCAGCTTCAAGAAGAATGGCAAAACATGTTGAATCATCACGATGGTACAATAATTGCTAGCTGGGTTTCCAACAAGGTCTTGAGGCCTTTCCTTTTCTTTGTTATATGTTTATCAACTCGACATGGGAAGATTTGCATCAGGGATATTAATTGTATGCAAACTTGCTTCAAGATTTTGCTGGAGAGCATAACTTCTACAGGTACGTTAGTTTTCCATGCTTTATATAGGATTTGATCATTTATTCAGTTTTTTTTTTTCCTAAATGATCCAATTGCTTCTTGGAAAATATGCTCTCATGCATTCTTGGTTTTGCTTAGCAATCTTGTTGCATATGTTGAATTTGTAATAAATCAGGTAAATAAGTCTCAATATATTAGTTTTATACAGCTGGCACCTGATTACCCAAAATTTATCCTTTTGATTCCTTGGCGATGAACTGTTCATTGATGTAGATGCTTTGCCCGACCATATAATGGCAATCTGGCATCTGCCAAGATATATTAGTTTGTGCTAACTTGTTCCTCAGAAATATTTAACTAAACTAAAACAGTAAAACTAGCAATATATTGCAATTTTGCCCTAGAAATATTTTTTATTATCCAATATCAACCTAGACCATCGAAAACACATAAAGTTGAAGCTTTTTGTTCTCCCCCAATCTGAGTTGCTTGGTATTCTTGTCAGCCCAAGAATATCCTAAGATCATGAAAGCAGCCTTTTTACTCATTGAGAAATTTATAGGACCTAATTTATACTGTACAAGGGACGATTTGTCATTTGACCTGTCTCTCTGTTTCTGTTAGTTTACCTGCCACTATAAACAGCTGATGTCCTCTCTCTTGTTTTTAAGGGTAGATTCAAGAAAGAACTTTTGCTCCCTAGCACTTGGTACAGTTGACGAGAGAAGAACATGGAGATATCAATCAAAGAAGCTGATTTGTCTCTGCTCATTTATCCTTGCTGAGTGTGATGAATCTCATTCTAGGAGACCAGATGTTGTTGTTCTAACTTCTCTTGCAATGCGTTTCCTTGCCATCTTAACTGATCTGAAGGGGTGGAAAATCATAACCGATGATAGTCCTGCAGATGCAGTTATAGCAGTAAATGATTTGGTTAGGTTTATGGCAAGCCCTAAAAGTGGTCTTTACATATCTATCAGAAAATACATTAACCAACTTGATATTCCTAATAATTTACGAACAAAAAGTATGGTCCAAACAGATAATAAATTCTTGATTACTGCAACTGCAATAACATTAGCTTTACGGCCATTTCATGCAACAAGCTTCAAATTAACTGGACCTGATTCGCCGGACATGCATTCTGCTGCTGTCCAGTACTGTCTGTTTCTACTTACAATTCCAAGTCTCACTCAACGTCTACCAGCTGTTCTTGTTTCTGCTTTGAAGCACAGGTCTATTCTCTTGCAATGCCTTCAGACTCTACTGGTAAGGTTCATTAAATTTGAGCTAAAGCTAATTACTATCTTTTCTAATGTATATGCTACACGTGAACATGCTTCCTATGCAGTACTTTATAAGCAGCTGATACCAACTGCTTAGTGATTATACATGTGCTTTGGGTCATTTTTTTTCTTCTTAGCAAATGATTCTGTTAATATTGAGCTTGGGAGATGGTCATGCATTTTGCCAGATGGTAATGCGAGGATTACTATAACCTTGCCCTGTCTACAAAGAACTTGATTTGGAAAATACAGTTCTTCTGTTTCTGAGGTTCAGAGGTGGGAAACACCCTTGAAACTTCTTTTTTGCCAATTCAGACCGAAAAGTTATAATCGATAGTCTTATGTGCCTGGCCTGACATGTAATTACTGGGGATATAATGTTGCAATGTAGGCATGTCTGTTTGCATTAGTGGCAGAGCTTCTTTTTTTTTTTTTTTTTTTTTTTTTTTAATCGATAGTCTTATGTGCCTGGCCTGACCATGAATTTACTGGGGAATATAATGTTGCAATGTAGGCCATGTCTGTTTGCATTAGGTTGGCAGAGCTTCTTTTTTTTTTTTTTTTTTTTTTTTCTCTTATTATACATTTTTCCTATGTCACTATAGTTTGCAATGTTAATAAATTTATATCCAGCAGATTGGGTCAACTTTTAGCATTTGCCCTGTCTAAATCAAACTTGCAATTGTTTATTTGTAGCCATTTGAATTATCATCCTTTGATATTAGTTCTTGCAACACTTTAACAAAATTTCTGATCTTTCTAACTTTCCTGGGGTGGCTTTTTTTTTTTTTTTTTTTTTTTTTTCTCTTATTATACATCCTATGTCACTATAGTGCAATGTTAATAAATTATATCCAGCAGATTGGGTCAACTTGGAGCATGCCTGTCTAAATCAAACTGCAATTGTTTATGTAGCCATTTGGAATTATCATCCTTGATATTAGTTCTGCAACACTTTAACAAATTTCTGATCTTCTAACTTTCCTGGGGTGGCTTCTTAAAGTTGCCCACAAGTTATTTAATAATTTCCTTGTTTATCCAAATTAAACGACATGAGTCCCCATTTAGTTGTCAAATCTTAAAGCATTTTGGGAATGGTGGTTACTTAATTGAGGGTGAAAAAAAATTGGATTTTTCAGTGGTATGACCCACTCAATAAGGGATCATATATTTTAGGTAAGTATGAATTTTAAACTTTATTGATGTATTTTATTCAATGTATGCATGGAATATACGTTTATTTTTCTTTTTAAAATTTTTAAATCTTTTTACAGTGTGCCAATAACTAGTATGTGGTCTGACATGTTACTAAATGCCTTTTATTTCTGTTATTCTTGCCAGCAGATGTGTGCTGGCTGATATATTATTTATAAATGAGTCATCCAACTCTATTAGTTATCATGTGAAGATATTCCATTATATCTTTTTTTGCTTGTGGCACTTAAGTGAATATAATTCTCTTTAATTCAACTTGATAGACTACTATATCATTCAAACACGTGAGGACTGATCAAACTTTGGCAGGTGATGACAGATTTTGAGAGATAATATATTAACAGATATGTCCAAGATGGATCAGTTGAAAATTCAGCATTCTTCCAAGGTGATTCCACCAGTAGGTTGGGCTCTTGCAAACATTATTTGCCTATCTACAGGAAGTGAGAATGATTTTTTGGATCCTCTCAATCAAAGTCTAGACTATGCATTCTATGTCCGCGTTGTGATCATGCTTGCTGAGAGCTTATTGTCATTTCTTGACCATGGTGGATGGACTGAAAAGGAGAACCAATTTCCTCAGAGTGATGCTGAAACTCCTGCAGAGCTTGTTGGTAAAGTTTTATATGACAATGAGAATACATTTGCCTTAAACATGTCTTATGTGGACCTACTGAGGCCTGTTTGTCAGCAGTGGCATCTTACAAAACTTTTGGCAATCTCAAAGACCGATACCTATGTTGATATAGATGAGACTTCGACTGCTCAAAATGCAAAATACTCAAGGAAGTTGGAACTGGTTGAAATTGCATATTTCTATTCTTACTTTCTCAGAATATTTTCAATCTTGAATCCCTCACTTGGGCCATTGCCTGTTCTTAATATGCTATCATTCACTCCTGGATATCTTGTCACTTTGTGGGAAGCATTGGAATATTTACTTTTTCCTAGAAAGGGAGAAATATCTGCTGATAATGATCTTTCCTTAAGTAAAATGTCAGGGAACAAGGGAGATGGGGGTGTTGAGAAAAAACACAAGCAGCTCAATAAGGAAGGAGGTAATAGATGGGCTAATGTGCTTCATAAATTTACTGGCAAGTCCCAAACGGGTGTTGATTATACAGATGGAGTTGGTGGGCAAACTGGTGAGATAGATGAAGAATTGCAAGATATTTGGGATGTAGAATCATTGAGGTTTGGTCCACAAAAAATTCCAAAAGATATTTCATGCCTGATTCATCTGTTCTGTGCCACATATTCCCACTTGCTTTTAGTTCTTGATGACATTGAGTTTTATGAAAGACAGGTAACCTGTTTTTTCTTCTTATGCTTCTTTTTTCAGTTTCTCTTTTCAATCACAAGATCATATGAAGTGCTCTACAATACTTGTTTTGCATTTCATGGTACAAGTCAGGTCCCATTCAAGCTGGAGGAGCAACGAAGAATTGCTTCAGTGCTCAATACATTGGTTTACAATGGATTGGCCCAAAATACAGTTCAGCAGAATAGACCACTTATGGATTCTGCGATTAGATGCTTGCATTTGATATATGAAAGGGATTGCAGGCACCAGTTTTGCCCCCCTGTTTTGTGGCTTTCACCTGCTAGAAAGAGCCGACCCCCAATTCAAGTGGCTGCGAGAACGCATGAAATCATTTTATCTAATATAAAATCAGATGATGCTTTGACTGTTCCAAGTATCGGTTCTGTAATCACTATTACTCCACATGTATATCCATTTGAAGAAAGGTAAGCATGAGATACCTGATAGCTGTTGTACCTTTTTCTCATCTACTGCTTGCATTAAACTTTTGTGCTGCAAGTTGGGATTTGTTGTTGAGAACTTTGACCCGACGCTTTCTGCATTGATGCATTTTTCTCTTTTTTTTTTAATGGAATTCTCTTTATTACAATCTGCTCCATGCAAAAAAGAGTAAGTTACAGGCCCCGAGCATTTAATGAAATTCACATTGAAATTGAATTAAGTTGCCCTTTACTTTAGGAAAAATTTACATTTTAGTCCTTTCATTGGATTTTAGTTTCTCACCTTTAAATATAGTAACATTTTAATCCCTCATTTTTAGATGAAATAATATATTAGTGGTCCACTTTTTAACTTTTTTGGGATTAGTAAGGTACTTCATTTGTAAATTGAATTACTAAAATATTGTTATGAGTAGGGACTAAAGTGTATATATTTAAAAAAAGAAAAACTAAGTGCAGGGAAATTGAACGGTTGAGAACCATTTAATTCATCTTTTAAGAACCTGAGGATTCAAGTATAAGTTCAGACAAAAGTTGGAGATTTTAGCAATTTACCCTAAATAAGGATCCTAATGAAGGCAAAATTGTCCTTAGACCTTTTTCTTAAGTTATTAGTTGCATGATAATTTCCCTTTCTTCTGGTTTGTTGCTAAATGATTTACAGGATCTCACTCTCTCAGGTCAAATCATCTCTTTTATGGTTTATTATTACTGTCCCCTACTGTTTATCCTTATTCTCATGGCAGTTCTTTTCCCATGGATTATTTTTTTATTTTGATTAACTTTTGAAGTCTATTACTCTGCTGACGTTGCTTGGTTTTGTTTTATTTTTTTCTTCCATGCTGAGATGGTTGTTTCTTGATATCATTCACTATCTTATATTCGCAGAGTTCAGATGTTTAGAGAGTTTATCAACATGGACAAAGTATCACGAAAAATGGCTGGTGAAATAACTGGACCTGGTTCACGAGCAGTTGAGATTTTAGTTCGTCGGGGTCATATTGTTGAAGATGGATTTCGTCAATTAAATACTCTTGGATCAAGACTGAAGTCATCCATTCACGTTTCTTTTGTTAGTGAATGTGGCATTCCAGAGGCTGGCTTGGACTATGGTGGATTATCAAAGGAGTTTCTGACTGATATATCAAAAGCAGCCTTTTCTCCAGAGTAAGTTTTTCTAGCATTTCTACATAAAAAGCTTTCTTTTCTTCATCATCTACTTCATGACATAATAGTGTTTTAACTTTTTCCATGCAATTAAGGTATGGCCTATTCTCCCAAACATCAACCTCAGACAGACTTCTGATCCCCAATCCAACTGCAAGATATCTGGAGAATGGTATCCAGATGATTGAATTTCTTGGAAGAGTTGTTGGAAAAGCTCTTTATGAAGGCATATTGCTTGATTACTCTTTTTCACATGTTTTTGTACAAAAGCTTTTAGGCCGATATAGCTTTCTTGATGAACTATCAACACTTGATCCAGAGCTGTACAGGAATCTCATGTATGTGAAGGTAAACTATCTCGATCAGTTCAACTCCCTTTGGTTTTATTTATTCTGTTATTTATTTATCAGCTATACTTTTCCCGCCCCCACATCTACTAAGTCCTTGTTGACAAAATCAACTTATTAATATGCTTATGGCTTTATAAGATAATTCTAGCTTGTTGAGGTCGAGACTTGCTATATTGTTATTGTCAGGTGACTTATTATGTTCTAAACAAGCTGCAGGAAGCACTTTGAGAGAGTAACTGAATTTCTATGCTTTACTGAATAGATTTCTGGGCCGGAATAAAAAGTATGAAGATAATAGAAAATGTTGGTGAATGTTGGAACAAGAAAAGTTGATATTAGAATCTATTTGATTAAGATTGCATAGATGTGGAGGGTCCTGCTGACTGCATCTGGTTTGTTGGAAGTAAGGCACTAGTGATTGCATGGTTGAGCTATTTCCATTGCTTGGAAGTCTTATCATTTCTTTGATTATTTGGATTTTTGGCTATCTTTTGAATATCTTCTTTAGGTGTGTTTGCAAATCTAGATGTACAAGTTTACAGATCCCTTTAATTTATTTATTTACCCTACTGCCTGCTTTTTCTACAGCATTATGATGGTGATTTCAAGGATCTCTCTCTGGACTTCACAGTTACAGAAGAATCATTTGGTAAACGGCATGTTTTTGAGCTTAAACCTGGTGGCAAGGATGTCTGTGTGACAAATGAGAACAAGATGCAATATGTTCATGCCATGGCAGATTATAAACTCAATCGACAGGTATCTAGTTACTTTATTTTCACAAATTCTATAATAACATCACCTTTTTTATTTGATTTACCTTACACTAATTGTTCAAATTGCAGATATTGCCATTTTCAAATGCATTTTACAGGGGACTGACAGATGTCATATCCCCTTCTTGGTTAAAGTTATTTAATGCAATGGAATTCAATCAGGTATTTTTTCTTGTACTTCTATTTGTTGATTTGAGATCGCTTGCCCTGGTCCCTCCTTGTTTTGTATATATTGGTTTCAATGGTGATTTCAAGTTCAGAATTTGCCTGGGTTAACCTAAAAAGAAGTTGAAAGGATAAAGTTATATGTTTTAAGTACTGGTCTTCTGTCAATTACTTCCAGAAGAAAAGTAGGCTGTTAAGCTGAAGGAAAAGCAATGCTAGGCTGTTGAAATACATGCATCTATCAAGCTGACTAGCACTATTTGCAATGAAATAAAGAACATACTTGTAATTGTATCTTAACTTAGCTATGGTTGCATAGTTTGTTTGGAGTTCTATAAAAGGTAATTCCCATTATTGCAAGAAGTTCAAATCCTAACAGACCTGGTTCCTCTCTTTACACCAAATCCAACTTTGTATGATATTTTTGTATCTCCCATAAATTCGTGCAATTCTTGGAATGGAATGTATGGATGACTTCCATTTCCATTCTGTATGAGTCTAGATTTTCAATTTTTATGCGATATGATAATTACTTTGCATGTAACTACAGTGGCACTGCAAACATGGTTTCTAAAAAATTTGTTCTGCTGAATTTTTTTTGTCTTTCTTTTCTTCCAATTCCAACCCAGGTTATTTTGTTCAGTTACTTTCAGGTGGTGACTTTGACATTGATGTCGATGATTTAAGAAATAACACACGTTACACAGGTGGCTACTCTGAGGGGAGTAGGACAATCAAACTTTTCTGGGAGGTACTGACTCTAAATTGGAGTTAAAATTTTTGATTTTCCTTGTGCTTAAAACTCATTTTTTTATGAATATCCACACGTATCTAACCTTTTATGCCTCAACTTTTTTAATTTGTCATCTTTTTAACTTAGTAAACATCTATTTAATGGAAGGAGGAGAATATTAAATAAACTGTTCTGAAAGAATTAAGGATGCAAAAGTTTCTTGCTTAGAGGAGAAAACTTAAATAATGGTAACTGGAAAATGTCCTAATTGTGTGAGGTTCTGTAATGCTAGCAGCTCCTCTATCTAATTGCCAATAAAACTTAATGTCATCAAAATTTGCAATATTTCTATGTTGGTGTTAATCTGGTTTAGACCTCCAATACATTTTTTCTTCGTCAGCATGTTTGTATCTTTTTCACTCTTTATGATAGTTTAAAGAACATTTCCATACATACTCTCTTCTACTCTGCTGCTTCTCTATGGGCTGCCTCCGGCCCTCCACCCATCTCCTACTTCCCTAACCCAGGTAGATTCCACATCTATAACAAAAGGAATGATTCAGTTATGATAGCTGTGCCTGCAGTAAGCACCATTTTCATTATTCCATCTCGAAGTAGATTATATGGATTCTGATTTCAAGGTTGCATGTCTCGATATCTTGAAAAGTGCATTGTTTAATCTATTTCCTTTTGTTTTGGATTTTCTTTGAAAATGTTTCAGGTAATTAGAGGATTTCAACCAAATGAAAGATGCTTGCTGCTTAAGTTTGTGACCAGCTGTTCTCGAGCTCCGTTACTCGGGTTCAAACACTTGCAGCCATCCTTTACCATTCATAAGGTATGGTCTTGATCTCATATTTTGTGGCATTTTGGAACTATTAGATTAATGGTCTATTTGGTTGTGACTTTTGAATTAGAAAAGAAAAACGATATGGTTGATTACCTTGCTTGTTGAAACATGCAATTGAATTTTGATTCCTTGTCTGACCATCTGGGTAATTTCAAATCTTAGTATCTAGTTTTTAACCTTATTTTGGTGTCTTCTGATAGTACTGCTTCAAGATTTTCCTAATGCTTGAGATGCTATTTGGATGGTTTAGTATAATGTTTCTTGTTGTGTATTGTTGCCGAGGAAATGGTGAATAAGATGTGTATTATGCAACGCAAAATATATCCTTTTAACTTTGAAATATTGCAAAGTAAAAAGAAAGTACTTATGCTAGTCACTATAGACACGGTGAACAAAAAGAATGCCATGAGCATTGGGAGTTAGTTGAAAGTAGTCTAAAATAAATTGAACAGGCTTCAGTCTTTTTCTTTTTGAACGCGGTGTATGCTCAGCATTGGACTAGTAATGAATGGGTTTCCTTCTGCATGAATTCGTCCACCACACGAGTGACTATACTGGAGCAGAACAAAATTGATGCCTTAAAACTATACTTCTCTAGAGGTTGGACTTGTGTGTAGACTAATGAAGTTTAGCTTGATATTTCCTTCTATACAAATGCATCATGCCCGTACTATATTGTGGGGTTGCTTTGAGAATTGTGATTGGTTTGTCAGTTGTGAAAATGGCTCTGTAACTGATTCATGCTTGCAAGACATAGACAGATGCTTTTATGAATTATTGCAGGTTTCTTTTTATCATTTATACATCCTTTCTTTCTAACCCATGCTCACAGTTCCCCTCTTTTCTTTTTCTAATAAAGAAAATAAAGATAAAAAAAGGGGACAAAAACAACAAAGAAAAAGAGGAAAGGATAACAAAGCCCTAAATTCATCATAAGTGGAATTGAAAATTAGGAATTTGATTTTTAGGTTGCATGTGATGCCTCTCTTTGGGCAACAATCGGAGGACAGGATGTGGATCGGCTTCCGTCAGCTTCTACATGCTACAACACTCTCAAGGTATTCTTGATGCAAGGAACAATGACACCCAGGATCTTTTCTCTTAGATTCCAGTCTATATTGTTTATTTTTCATCTAACCTTGGATGTTCCTGTGCTTTATTCATGTCTCGGATGGCTACAGCTTCCAACATACAAACGTGCAAGCACTTTGAGAGCAAAACTTCTTTATGCAATCAGTTCCAACACTGGATTTGAACTTTCTTAGGGATTTATGGATCTTTTGTCGTTCTTGCAATCAGGTGATTATTTTGCCTTGTGTTCCTAAATCTTTACATCTATACAAAAGTACAACCGATTACAATTTCTATCTGTAGTTAGAATATCTTTTTCCTTGATAATTTCTCACATAGGTCTGCATAAGATCAGTTAAACAGCATCAAGTTTCAATTTCTTAGCTATGCCTTGTAAGTTTGAGATAACCAAAACAATCTCATGCACTGAACTGTTTTCTTTTCTTGGCTGGAAAAAAAAAGGGAAGAGAACAGAAAAAGATTAGAGGAAACATTTCTAAGAACAAAAATTAGGAAGAAAAGATACAAGAGGTATTGGAGGGGGGGTAACCGAGGCAGTGCTCCAGAATGAGCATTGAGAGGTGAAATGCTACTTTGTGGAGAGAAATGACTTCTCTTTTCAAAAACAAAAAGGAATTGGTTTAAAATGAAAGCTCTCTAGATGATTGAATAGGTTGAAAATTTCCAAAAAAATTGGTTAGTTTTGTCTTATCCCATTTTGACAAAGTAATGAGGTTAAAAATGCTTCAGATGAAAATTCTGTACATAGAAGATTTTGATGAATAACTGGTTTTATTCAACAACTGGGATTCAACAGCACAGACTGATCAAATTAAAGCACTCACACCCAACCATAATTCTCTTACTAAAACATAAATAACTATGAGGTTACACCACAACCTGCAAACTACCTATATATTTCTGATTATGTTCATTTATATAGCATATATAAGAAGATTAAAGGAACAAAATAGTAGCAAATTGTTTCAATTGTGGAGGGAGCTGCTTCAAGAAATGAGGTCAAATCCCTGTGCAAGTAAATCACCAGCCAAGACCTTATTCGCAGCTTCAGAAGGATGAAATCCATCCCAAAACACGTATTGCGTAGCATTGGTGCATGTTCCCACAGACCTTTCATTGCAGAGCACTGAGGTCTCTAGTGTACCAGTTCCACAGCAAGCCCTTCTTGCTTCAAAGAACCCTGTGAGAGAAATGCATTATAACACGAGAATTAATGTTTATGTGCAATGCATTCATCGTACTCAAAAATTAATAGAATTTTCCAGTCTATCTTTGTGTATATATATATATATATATGAAAATGTGCATCATATTGACTAGCTAGTTGTTGCAGAATAGGCACAATACCATTGTCACTGGGTTTCGAGATCATATCCAAGAGAGGCTGGTAGATATCAAAGACCACGAGTTTGAGACCAGGGAGATTATTCGCCAGGTTTTTTGAGGTGCTGTTTAATTTATTGTTGAAGGAAATGGCATCTTGGTTTAACCTATCAACACACTGGTTGCTTCCTGCACCAAAGAGGGTAATAGCTGCAGGTAAACACCCAGTTGGTGGTAGGCTTGTCACTCCAATCCTTCTTGCTCCCATTTCAAATAGATTCTGTGTTCAGCACAATCCTCGTTAGAGAAAAATTTGTTCTTTGGGAAAAAAAACCGGATACGTCTCATTTTTTTAGATATCGAATTCAATGCTTACATCAAAACAAAAGAACTCAATCCATGTATATGTTTCAGATCAAAATCACGCTATTGATGTATGTTTGCATGTAATCTCCCTCTTGTGATATAGGCAGGTTTATTTTGTGCTGACTTTTGTGATAGATTCAACCGATGGCAGTTTATTCTGCCTTTAACCAATCATTCCAGATTTTGTTTTCGTTTTCCAATATTTGTGAGGAAGCAAAGTGTATTATACCATACCTGAATGAAAGCAGTGTAGTATGTCAAGAGATTATCGGAGAACCGATCTGGTGAGTAGATTCCATTAAGAAGGGGGTTGATATAGTAATTCTGAATAAAATCACTGCTCCCTGCACTCAGAAGATGGATAGCACCGGAGAATATGTCATTGGCCTTGGTTTGTCCTACCATATCCACAACTTTTCTTTTATATTCCCTGTAGTAATTCAACTGCTGGGTCAATGCAATAGCCCCCTGCAGAATCCACAAGAAACAGGCAAGTAAATAAATAAATGAATCCAGCTATTCAGACTAAACATGTAAAATATTTCAAATTCAACTCGATTCAAGCGGTAAGTTGAAAGTTGAGCGAAGATCGAGTTCGAGTATTATGATACTCGCTCATGGCATTTATTGATTTAAGCTCGAACTAAAGTTTTGAATTTAATAACTAAATTTATATCTACACCTAATTAAGCCAAACTGGGCGAAGCTCTGCATTTTGAACTTTCTATCAAGTTGAACTTAAGCATGTCAAATAAAACTCAGTGGAGCTCGAGTTTTTTAATTAGGCTCAAATATTTTAACATATTAACTCAATTTGGCGCAATAAATCTCTAATAGAGTGACTAGAGAGAGAGAGAGAGAGAGAGAGAGCAGAGAGATTTCAATATTTACATAAAGCCTAGCAGTGCCATCATAAAAACCAGAAGCAGCAGAGGCAAAGTTAACACCAGTAAGAATGTTGCTTCCTTTGGCATCTTGGCTAAGGTAAGCTGGTGGGTATGAGGTGAAGCCAAGGTACTCAGCTGTGCATCAACAAAAAGAAAATCAAAAGAATGCAACTTTAGAAGAAGAAGAAGAAGAAGAAGAAGAAGAAATTATTTTACCAGTAAAATCTGTAGCTAGCTTTCCATTGCAGAATCTTCCAGTAGGTCTGTGAGTAACAAAGTCTCTTCCATAAGGAAGAAAATTTGCCTTAACAACTGTATTAAGGTTATTATTATTACCCACATCAACAACAGAGTCGCCAAAGATTATCAGGGCAGGAACAATAGGCTCTGCATGAACTACTGAAGCTACTAAAACAAGAAGCAAAAATGCAGTACACAAAACACCACTACATGCAAACCCCATTTCTCCTTTCCTCTTCTTCTCAAAAAAAGGTAAAAAAAAAAAATTAACTTCTGATCGGTAGAGACAGCGAAGAGTTAATTGAGAAGAGAAGAGGGAGGTGATGAAGAATTTAAGAAGAGGAATAGCAGTGAATGATGGTCAAAAGTGATATATAACTGTCCTAAAGAGTATGGCTCCAATAAAGTTGCTTACTTTACGGGGAAGAAGCATGTTTAGCACTCTATGAAGTTCCATGATTTTTGTCCTCTATGTTAATGTACTTATTAGGCTAACTAAAAGTGTAAACTTTAATGGCTATGTTTATACGTAAGTGATGTGCTAACAGAAAGTGTAAACTAACTCTCTTCGTGAGCTTGATTTGATAAGTGAATTTACTTCCATTTTGTTCATTAGAGTTGAATCTCCGCAATCAGACTATTAAAGAAGAATATATGTTTTTGCGAATCTTCTGATTCTAATATGATAATTTATCTACGAATAAAGATAAATAAACTTAGTATGATATGTAAAAATTAATCAAAAAAGGAGCTTAAAAAACTTGGAGATAAGTTTTTTACTTTCAAATTTACATGTAATGTTGTGCATGAATCATGAGCCCTCCTTCACAATTAGCATTATCTTCCATATCGTATCAAGCAGAATTAAATTGATTTTTCTTTCTTTGTTCACACATTTCTCAAGCTAGGTAACATAAATACAGATCAAGCATATTTTTTCAAAAAAAAAGAAAAGGGAAGAGCATTAAAGTGATCTTTACAAGAAGGGTCAATGGTTTTTTACCCTTTAATGATAACACTGCCACATGGAGAAACTCATTATGAAGGAGAACTGCTTTGCATTTCTGTTGGGTGCCAAATCACTCGGTGTGGGTTTATTCGACCCTCTAATAAAAAGTAAAATATCACAAATTTCTTGACAATTATGTGACTGTGTAGACTATTAGATGAAATGAAAAAGTTATTTTTGTTGTATAACTTATGATATAAATATAAATATAAAATAAATACTAAATACAATAAGAGAGAGAACACACTGATCAAGAACACAGGCTGATACAATAAGAATCAGCTCATATTAATGTGTACCTCAAATCCATAAAGAGTTACAGAACGCAAATTTGTACATGTTATGTAGGATATTATGAATATATATATATATATATTGAGGCAGTGTAAATGAAATATTGTACTCTTTCAGCTTTTAAATGTTGCTGCAAAATTTCGGGAGCTCTACAGGTTTTATTAAATACTCTTTTATGGCTTGCATATGTCTGTACCAGAGCCTTCTTTCCTCTTTTATTTTATTTATTTTTTTTTTCTTTCCTAGGTGAAAACCAAAGAAACATGTTACGAAGAAACCCAGATACATCACCCAAAAGAATAAATTAGTAGAAATGATGAGAGTAAAAGACACTGTATCCTTAAATTATATTTGAATTAACATTTTTGTTCAATCTACTTTTAAAAAAATCACAGTGATTTCTCTAATTTTTACTTTAAACTTGCCATTGGGTCATTCCATTTTAAAATTCCAAAGAATGTGTTTAACTAACGATACAGAGAGATTAAAGGACTCCATAGTTAGTTTGAATCGGAAGTTAAAAGGTATCATATGTTAATTTTAGTTCCTTTCTTGAAGACGGACAAAAATGTTAAACTAAGATATAATTCAGGGACTATGGTGTTTTTTACTTTTGTAATGTACTTGGTCACCCTGATTTGTAATGAATTGCAGGTTTCGTTTTCTATGTTTTTATGATTTGTATGAATTAAGCAGAACTTTTAGGTTGTTGAACTCTCTACTTTGGTTTTCTAGCCTATTACTGGAGATCCATTTTAGGTTTTGATGTCTTCTTGAAGGCAAGTAACCTAATTTCATTAAAAATGGGCATAAATTGCAAAGGGCCAAGCCTAAATACAGAGGATTTTTGTAGTCTTCTACAGAGATGGAGCTCTGACTCTCCAACCACAAATTCTCAGACCAACAGTTGTACAACATGCGCTGCCAAGTCACTGACAGAATCTCTATTTTGAGAGTACTGCTTCTTCCTGTGAATCAGGATTGTACTCCTGGAACAGAGAATGAAACAAATAACAAACGAAAAATCACATAGAAGCAATTATATGCATAGAGATATCTCCAGACTAGTAAAAATGAACAGTGAACATGCTGTGTTCGTCTTTGGACAATAGATTTCAGGTTGCCACTGCATTCACATAGGTTATGTTATAGATAATAGCAGTCCAGATAAAAAATTTCACCTGTCAGTCTCTTCATAAATATACAACTTAGTGCCTTAAATCAAGGCACAATATATAATTCAACTAAATTAGAAGCTAGTCAAATGTGCAGTGCGGTTGTGAACCCTAATCATATATTTTACAAAGATGATAGCAAGAGAACTACAAAGCATATCAACTCCCTTTCTTTCACAAGATAGCAAACATATTGGTGCTTTCTTTCTACACACCAAAAAAGTTTTTTGGTTGTTGTGCATAGTAAGATATTCAAGTTGATATAAAAATCACAGGGAAGCTCCAATTAATGCATCAGAAGCTGGAAGTTATCATCATCAGTTACAAGATCATAATCATACCCAACACTGTTGGCACGGCTATGGAACTCGTCCATCTCATGTTCAGGAACCTGGATTCCAACCAGCACATTTGCACCGGTTTCACCCTGTTTGAAAGAAAATCCACAAATGTTAATATGGCTTGCACTTCAGGTAAAATGCCTCAAGACAATTGAAATGTCAATAGGTTTAAAGCCAACCTGCCCACGGTAATGGAACAAACTAATGTTCCAACGAGGACTGAAGGTGTCCAAGAACTTCATGAGAGCCCCAGGTCTTTCTGGGAAAACAAAATGACAAAGAACCTCATTTTGAACATTCAATCTACCGCCCATCTGTAAGAGGTACATAACAAACTAGCGTTACAATCAAAATTTAACTATGCAAACAAAATTTTACATAGGCTCAGTTTACTAATTTTGCAAGAATAAATGCATTTAATGGAACTTCAGAGTAGAGATTCAGCATGCCTCCTCTTACACCACAAATGCACACGCTTAATGCAATGTTAAAGAAATTTTAGTCTACACACTATAATTGTTCTCCAATTATTATTTGGGGAAGGAAAGAGGTTGCTTTAGGCTGGGGGCAAGGGTGGATTAAAACTATTTGACTAGGAATCAGGATGGAAAGGAAGAAGAGAAAGCAGGAGGTTGTTTCAAATATTATGGTTCATAAAATCAAAGATAATTTGCTGTAATAAGGTATAATATATTCAGAAATAGTACACATGGAAAAAAAAAAATGAGCATCGACCATCCAAGAGTCAGCTCGTAGTCATGCTATATGTCACACCTAAGCAGTCTACAGAAGAAATAATTCAGTAAAATATATTTACCAAATAACGCAGGTGATCTTTGACCAAGTCACTTGATGTAAGATTGTAAGTTCTCAGTTGAGAAGACTCCATCCGTTGCTGTAATGCTTCAATTTCAGAAACTGTATGAAGGCCAACACTGCACAAAAACATCACAAAGAGTTAAGGGCTGTTGCTTTTACTATCAAATAGCAAACTAATAACAATACTCGAAATTATTTAGAAGAAACAGAATATTTTATTTTATAGTAATCGTTTTTTTGTTCATAGTATAATGCTTTGATATGTCTACAAAATGAACAAGGTTTTCTAGTAACTCATGAATCCAATAAACTAACCTGTACAGAACAACAGCCTCCTTTTCGGAATTACATCTGTATTTGAACTCGGTGATATTCATGGGTCCCACCTGCCACCCAAATCATTTTTAGCACAGAATAAAACAATTACCCCACAAGAAGGTTATTAAAGTTATGAAGACAAACCAGTTCACAAAAACGTTTGAACATCCCAGGCTCCTCTGGCATAACAGTTGCAAGCACAGCCTCCTGTTGCCTACCAACATTGGCAAGTTCAGTCACAACCCTCAGTTTATCAAAGTTCATATTTGCGCCACTGGTTATTGCCACAACATTTTTGCCCTGAAGGCCATAATATTTGCAGTATGCTTCAGCTCCAGCAAGGGCAAGAGCACCTGCTGGCTCTAAAATGCTTCTTTTCTCCTCGAACATGTCCTGCAACACATGAAATATGTTCTCTATCGATTCAATTCTTTTGTGCCAGCTTTTATGGTTAACACTGTTCTATAGAGGACTAAAATTTCCAGATATGTCTCAGTAAATTAAGGTAAGTTGAATGCAAGACGGGAAGTCAAGGCAAAGAGAATCCCAATTCCACAATCCATTATTCACCAGCATAAATGAGGGGAATTAGGAATAGAAAGAAATGTATCAGGAGTAGAAATTCCTGAGGGGATCGAAATTGATCAAATGGCTTACTATCCCTTTCATTTTTTCAAATAAACACATATGCCTTTTTTTTCATATGCTGAACAATAAACTTTGTTGTCATTTTTAAATAATAATAACCTCATAAAAAATTATTTTGAAAATCATATTGATTTATAAATTTTATCTGTGGTAAAAGATAAAAAACAAATTAGAGGAAAATAAACCTAAAAAAATAATGTGAGAGAAGAAAACAAAAGTCAAAGTCATTGGGAATTAAATTTTTTTTTTTATATATAATTTTCATGTATTTTCATTGAATAAATCAAATCATAGTAAAATTATTGCTTATGTTTATTTTGGATTTTTTCAATGATTCCATATTCCATTCCTCCCCCGTTGCTATAACCAAACAAAGGAATGAAATCAAAATTCCCACTCCATGCTGCATATCAATTATAGGAATTGGAATTTCTATTTTTATTTTAATTCCATTCATTTCTCTATTTTATTCCTTACTCCACCCCGTGCACTAAATGTAGCCTGAGAGTCGTGCAAACCTTGGAACTAGAATGAAGCCTTACCTTTATAGAGGCGCAAATTGCATCACGGCTTACAAGAACCACGCCATCTATCGATTCCTTGCACAAACGGAAAGTTTCTTCACCAACCTCTTTAACAGCCACACCATCAGCAAAACCTCCAACGTGGTCCAACATCACTCTCTCACCATGATGTAGGGACAATGCCATTGCATTTGCATCAGAGGGTTCCACCCCAATGATTTTTACCTGCATTTGTTTATCAAGTTAATGGTATTCATAAATACAAAAATCCTAGAACCCATGAAACTTCTCCCAGAATCAATATGCGTAGAAAAGTACAGTGCCCACATAATTTACAACATACTTATGCATTTTGAACAATTCAAAAATAACACAGTAAATGAAAATTCTAGCGTAATCACCAACAGACCTCAGGATTAACCCTCTTTACATAGGCAGCAATACCAGCTACTAGTCCACCCCCGCCAATAGGCACAAATATCGCATGTAGTGGGGCTTGCATCTGACGCACAATTTCCATCCCAACAGTTCCCTGTCCCATGATAACATCGGGATGATCAAAAGGAGGTATGAATGTTCGATCCTCCTCTTTGGCCCTCTTTTTTGCATACGCTTGTGCTTCATCATAAGAATCCCCAACTAGAACAACAGTAGCACCCAACCTCTCAACAGATTGCCACTGTGAGAGGGGAAAAAGTCCAATTCAATTAATGGAATCATTATAGAAGGATAAAAATGCAATTGAAAGAAGTGTACCTTGATTTCAGGAGTAGTTACAGGCATAGCAATCACTGCATTGCAGCCTAGTCTCTTGGCAGCTAATGCAACACCTTGAGCATGGTTTCCAGCTGATGAGCAGATAACCCCTCTTTCCAACTGTTCCTTTGGAATTTTTGCCATCATATTATAAGCTCCACGCAACTTAAATGAAAATACCTGAGAACCAGATTATGGAAACAAACAGTAGAAGAACTTATCAGCAAATGCATATTTCCCCACTCAAATGTCAAACAGCAATCCCATCCCACATAAAATGCATGAAAAGTACAGATTGATTCTAATGCAACCAGCATATGAAGGCAGCTTATTTTCTAAAATTAAGAACAAATCTGAAAATTTAACCTCACATTGTGCCACTAATTGAGCACATTTCCAATCAGAAAAGGAATTTTGAAGTAAGAAAGTGAAATACAAGTTCATAAGCAAGAGCAATACAAATTTAAAAAAGAAAAAAAAATCCATGTAGAGCACACCAAATGCTATCACCACTGAAATTAATCACCGGAAAACAGCTAAATAAGACACTCTAGTTCAGTAGAAAATTTTAGAATGACATACGAAATATAGTCGTCAAAAGATTGTCTCAAGACAAAAGCTCCCATCCAACAATGATCAAGGATCATTCAACTTAGGCAAAACTTGCAGACAGGGAAAAAAAAAAAAAATACAAGTTCATAAGCAAAGCAATCAAATTTAAAAAAGAAAAAAAAATCCATGTCAGAGCACACCAATGCTATCACCACTGAAATTTAATACCTGGCAAACAGCTAAATAAGACACTCTACGTTTCAGTAGAAAATTTTAAGATGACATACGAAATATAGTCGTCCAAAAGATTGTCTCAAGACAAAAAGCTCCCATCCAACAATTGATCAAGGGATCATTCATTGCAACAACAAGAACAAATATTTCATATTATTTCAAGAAGTAACTAAATAAACTATAATCAAAATTGCAACAACAAGAACAAATATTTCATATTATTTCAAGAAGTAACTAAATAAACTATAATCAAAATTGCAACAACAAGAACAAATATTTCATATTATTTCAAGAAGTAACTAAATAAACTATAATCAAAATTGCAACAACAAGAACAAATATTTCATATTTGTCTTCCCAAAAACAAAAGAATCAATTCAAAATACATTGAGCTACAAACACCTAAACAAAACCAAAAAAGAAAGAGAGAGAGAGAGAGAGAGAGAGAAAGAGAGAGAGAGAGAAGTCACAAAACTAGAAACAAATAGAAAAAGATGGAAGCTTTACCGGCTGTAAGTCCTCTCTCTTAAGCCAAACCTTAACCCCCAATCTTTCTGAAAGCTTAGGAGCGAACTGCAAAGGAGATTCAATCGCCACGTCATAAACCTTAGACGACAATATACTGGTCAAATATCCCATAGCATTTATTATGTCATTAGTCACATCCTGAACTGTACGGTCCGGCACAGCTCCGAGGTAACCAGACGGATACTGGAGAGAATTGGGAGAAACTTTCTTCAAAGGAGAGGAAACAGTAGAGGCGGCAGAGGTCGGGGATGGCCGTGCTGGCGATGGTGTAGTAGGCATTGGAGGAGGGACCTCTGCCGTATGTTTGGAGATAGCGGCATTGATGAACGACTTAAATGGATTCCTGTGAGATCGAGAGAGTGTTTGTGGAGCCAATTCGAACCGGTGGTTTGGACGGAGGATTGGCGATTGCGACGGCGTTAGGCGGAGAGCCTCCATTTCGTTATGGAAAAAGAAAGAAGTGAGAGAAATGGAGGCTTTTGTTTCTGTAACTATTTTTAAGAATTCAAAGTTAGTCAGCTGCCAATACGAAAAAATAAAAGGGCCGTTTTGGGCTTTATATTGTTTGGTTTGGGGTTTGAGTGTTACTTATCTTTAAGTGTTATGACAATATTTATTTTTTTATTTAATTTTTGTCTATTTCTATTAAAACTATTTTTTTATTAGTTCACAGTTCACACGTCCAATACGCCAAATTAACGTTACAGTTTATATATTGGAAATATCTATCTCTTAATTTACTAAATTGGTAAAAACTCTTATAATAAAAGTAACTCCAACGCGAAAATTTTCATTTTCAAATTGATATAATTGCCGGTAATAATTAAAAAAGAATTTATATTTTTTTATATAAATTAAGAAAATTTATTTAATACTCCATTTAATAATAAATTTTACTTATATGTTTCTAATAATTATACTCTTAAAATAGAAAACGACCTATAATTTGAGATATATTGTAATACCCCGAATTTTTATTTTCAAAACTTTTGAATTTTCATTAAATCAAAAATCAAGATTTATGATAATATGGGCTGTTAAGACCGAGTAATTATGATAATCATGGGCTGTTAAGACGAGTAACTTCCTAATTGAAGCCAAAGTTTTTACGAATTGTTGCCCAAGCCCAAAAAATATATTATTTAAGAATTTTCGTTTGGAGTTAATACTTTAAAATTTCGATGAAAAATAAAAAACTGGAACACTAAATTGTTTTAATTTACGAAAAAAAATGTGTCCTAATATATATGTATACTATATAAATTAATCCAGCCTAAAAATTCAATTCTTTGGTTATTAATATTTTTATGAATAAATTGAGAAAATATTACGGAATGAACAAAATACTCAGCAAATAAATGAACGGACCCAAAAATCAAATTAATTTTTCGGCAAAAACCAGAATTTTGAAAAATCCATAAATCAATTGAAAAAAGCCAAACCAAGCTAAACACAATGATGTTAAATCAGACAGACTTGATCGCCCAAAACCTTAGAAAATTCTAGAAAAAAAAAAAAGAAAGAAAAGAGAAACGAGAAGAGAGACTCAGTGGTCTCTCTCTCTCGCTCTCCTCTCTCAACAATCCCCCTCCCCTTTTCTTCTCGTTCTCCGACCACCGGCAGTCAAATTCGGCAAATAGATACTCTAAAAATATCTACTCGTCGCAAGGAGTTCTATTTAAACTTTGGTTTGCGCAATTTGAGCCCGGATTGAGAGAAATCTCAACCGAAACATTTAGCACCGTTGCAACAACTTCTCCAGCGATTTCCCATCGTTTCCGATGACTTGAGGCGTTCCGATGAACTTGAGGCGTCGAGGTAAGGGTGTTTGATCCGACTCCTCTTTCTTCCTCTTCTCATTTGGTGGCCTCCACTCGTCCGACTGTAATAGCCGGCATCGGAAACCCAAAATGGCTATCACCGACCTTTCGGTCAATTTGTTCGGCCAAATACGTTCACACCCAGCCTTGATTTGAATACATATTAGTGCTCTCTCATCGTTAAACACGAATAAATGATATACTTGTTTTGTTAATTTTTTGGTGAAGATTTGAATTTTTCGACACTCGTGCACGGCGGCGGCGGCGGTCCGATCGACGGCCCGGCGAAGGCTCGCGAGGACTTCAAGGACAGAATGTTCTCCTCTTCCTCTTCGCGCGGATCACGGAAATCAAATTCGATTTTCGATCGGTACACTCTAAAGCTTAATTTGCAATTTTTGAATAAATCCCGAGATAATTAATTAATAAATTTAATTAAGTAGTTAAATAAATTAAATTGGATATTGTTAAATATATTCCATGAATATTAATTATAACTATAAGATCAGTATTGAAATATCAAAGAAGCTTTAAGCTGGCTGGAAGGAAAAAAAGGATGGAGCAAATTAGTTGTCGAAAGTGACAACTTGATGGTGATAAATGCACTAAATGACAAGTCTTATTTGGATGGTACTGTATTTGGTGATATTATCAATTCTATTTGTCAGATTTCTTCACGGATTAGATGTGAAGTTAAGTTTAGGCACATTTATCGTTTGTCAAACGAGGTTGCTCATGGGCTTGCCCAAGCATCTAGAACATTGTCGAATGTGGGGGAGTGGTCACATGATTTCCCTCCCTTTGTAATATCTATTTTAAGTTTGGATGATTAATATATTCCAGCTTTCTTCAAAAAAAAAAAAAAATAAAATAAGTTTCTACTAATAATATTGTAAGTAAATATTTAGAATTTTATTTAGTAAGGTGAATAGTTTAGAATAATTAATTATAATGAGAAATTTAGATTTGATTAAGAATATGCCCGATGATAGACTATTGGAAATTGAATGAAAGAATGAATGATGGGTTATGGCGGACGAAATGAGTTTAATGTGAAATTGACGATGGATGGGCTATGTGTTGACAATGTGGATTATGTAAAATTTGGGGCTAGTTCCATTTGTAAAGGAAATGCTTGCCGCGAATTTTTTCAGTTTTAAGCACTTAATAACTTAATGAAGAATTAAATTAGTTATATTCTTAAGAAGTAGTGACGACAAAAATTTGAAGTATTAAGAAATATTATACAATATTAGAATTATCATTATACAATATTTCTCACCGAAATAAATTAGAATAAATATATATAAATAAGGAAACCCAATGTATATCTATAAATATATATATAGCTTAAATTAAAAAGTGAATTAAATGACTGGTAACCAAAATTAATAAACAAATATGAAATAGAATCTTTCAAATTAAAATTCTTACTTAGAATTTTATTGTTTATTTTAGAGGTTTATAAAATTCCGAAATGCGAGGACAAATGTTGGAAGCATGTGGTTAGAAAGGCAGTTCCCTTAGAGGACAATAAAGAACTGTGAGTACTGTTAGATAACTAGTATCATCCGCCTGCATTCATGCATTCACGGCTAAATATTATCATGCATTATTTCGTTGAATTGCCATATTTTATCATGCATTATTTCGTTGAATTGCCATATTATGATGCACTAATTGTTGATATTAAGAATTGTTTGATTATTTGTGCTATGAATATATTGTGCCTTGTTTGTGTGGAATTGGGATGAAGTGGACCACCATGGGTTTGTGAGGATGGTCTGTGATATGGATCCTGAATATGATATGATATGGAATTTGACCGTTGGCCGGAAAAAATGGGAATCGGCGCCCGTGTGCACCTGATGATATGGATTATATGGAAAATCACAGGAATGGCTCTTGTTGGTTTGGCGCCACCTGATAAATCCTAGATTTGATTGTAAGCCCGCAGGTGGGCCTCCCTGTTGTGAGCACTTGATGATCTAAATTGGAATTGGAGACCACCGGGTTTGCCTTCCCTGTTGGTATGGAAAAGAAAAGAGAAGAATGGAAAACAATGAGGACTGGTCAGTGAAGATTAGACCAGTTGGCCGTATGGGGGATCGGCTCCCTGGGTGCAACATGTATGAGAGGGCGAGCCATGTGTGAGGACCGGCTCGTTGGGGAATTCAGTGGTGCCATTGACTAATTTCCACGTGATGTGTAAATGAAGCGTGATAATAACTGTGATTGCTGTTGTATTGTCAGTTTGTGTACATTGCATGAATATAAAAATTATTCGGTGACTAATAAAAATATTTCAGCCATTTGTGTGATTGTGTGGGGTGAGAAAGGGTTATCTAACCCTACTCATTGAGTTTGGCGCTCACCCTGCCTACCTAATTTTTTTTTTTCCAGGTAATAGAAGGAGGAAACTCCTATTGTAAACCCCTTCCCGGTCCACCCTAAACCCCGAATAAACCGAGTCGAGACGTTACAAACTGGTTGACTTTAATGTTCTGACATGGCTGAATCATAATGTTATGTTGAATATAAATAGCTTTGCTGGAATGTTATATACAAAAATAATGGTAATTTTTAGATTTAAAACAAACATGATACTAGTTTACAAAAATGAAATGGGCCCAACTGAGTGCCCTGTAATGTGCCCTGTACATGCCATAAAAGATCAACAAGAGTATCTACCCTGAAGACCGAGTCTTCTACAGATGAACTGCAGCAGTTGTAAACGGACCCTCTACAGACCAGTCTCAAAACCTACGAGTTAAACAGGTAACTCGCTGAGCAAAGAAAGCTTAGTGGATATCTCAACATAAAAAGAAAGAATAAAGCACATACATGTATAGAAATAACCATGTAAACGCATCTGGATAATTAAGCATATAAGCACATATAGCATGATACTTGCTGTTTATTATGCTGTATGAGTCATGAAATCTGTATGGCTCCATAAGGTTATAGCGAAACCGAGGTGATAAGAAAACTGTATAAACTGGATGAATACTGTATGAATAAGAAAAACTGTATGAAACTGGATGAATACTGTATGCTTGGTCTGCTATGGCCCAATATATAATCATATCCACTCAACGGCCCTGTAGCCGGAGTAAATCAATGTAATGAGGTGGCAGATCTTGCTATCCTATGTCGCGACTAGGCCTTAATCTACATGGTTTCTACCTAACGCTCAATGGAGCCAATAATGTTGGTAATGGTCAAATTAAGATAACACAAACATCATATAAATAGGTCATAACTAATTCATGCTCTAATGATATTTGATGTAATATTTGATTTCACATCTTTGCATGCTTCATGTTTGTTTTGATACATGTTCTAACATGTTGTATGTTGGTGTTAAAAATGATTGGAAGGCATATAAGTGAAGCAAGAAAACAATTGGCATTGAAAAGAAGTCCAAAAAGTGCATGAAAAACAACCAAGTCGCGAGCGCGCCTTGCAAGGTCGCGAGCGCGTAATGCACTAGATGAGAGACAGTGAGTTATCTGGGCACAAGTTCGCGAGCGCGTATTAAAGTCGCGAGCGCGGAGAAGTGCAAATGAGACGACAGTGTAGTTCCCAGGCCAAATTCGCGAGGCGCGCGATGAAGGT